GAAAAAAAAGAGCGGGAGGGGGGGCTCGGGGGGGAGGGCGCAGCGCCCCCCCCCCGAAACCGCAAGCAGTTTCACCACATCTAACAAGTCGATCTTCTGTCTCATAGCCTGCCGGTAGGGAGGCTCCAGCAGCAAGCAGCAGCCCCAAGTCGATCTTCTGTCTCATAGCCTGCCGGCAGGGAGGCTCCAGCAGCAAGCAGCAGCTCATCATAAGCCTTCAGTATTCACGTCTTGCGGTTTTCCAGCGCGTCTGCTTGCCTGCCATTGACCAATGACAAGCGCCCATGCATGCGCATGACTTGCTTGCGGCATGGCTTCCTGGAAGCCGCGGTCCACGCGCGGGCGGGGGGGGCTCAGCAGCAAGCAGCATCACAACATGATCCTGCAGCGCGCACGTCTTTCAGTTTCAACCAAAATGACAAGCGCCGTCACTGCATCCTCGGCAGCGTGGAGGGCTTGGGGGGCAGGGTGCAGCGCCCCCGTCCCGAAACCGCAAGCAGTCTATCTCACAAGTCGATTTTCTTTTGCGGCGTGAACACCTTGCAGTTGTCCAGTAAGTGCCTCGCGTAACGTCAATCGCTTGGGCGGTTGACGGGCTTGCGGGCAGCATGGCGCGTCCACGCGCTGGCAGACGCCGCGCGCAATGTCGCTGTTTGCCAGCGTCCCACAAAGAATGGTTGATGTAGGCCTTCTTCTATAGACCGGGCAACGTCGGACGTCGGATCTAGCGTCGCGTCTGCCTTGCGCCGGGGCTTCCCCAGCGCAGCGCAGCGACCAAAACATAAAAGCGTGCTGGAATGCGGCGGCAGCGAAGCCGTGACACAAATCGGTAGGGCAACCGCAGGAGCCCCCGCGGCAGATGGCAGGTTGAAGGGAAGGGCCCCCTCCTGGGATATCAATCAGCCCCTTCAACCGTTGAGCTGTCTTGTCGCGGCCCAGGAGGAGGGGGGAGCATGTGCTCCTCCCGGCAAAGGGCCGCAGCCTCAGTGCTTCTCCTGTCACTTTGGCTGCATGTTTCTCTGCTGAGGCTTGATGCCTTGCACCTTTTACTCAGGCCAGCTGCAAACTGCAGTGTCTTGATGGTTTGCTTTTGAGCTCTTTGCTTGGTCTTGCTTGGTGGCCTGCACCTTTTCTTCTTTGAACCGAGCTGAACTGCAAGTTTTGGCTCGTTCTCTTTGCCAATGGCTCCACGTCTTCTAGCCGCAGCCTCAGCCTTGAAGCGACTGGTTGCGTCCATTCCGGGCCTGATGTGCTATACTTGTGAAGGCATGACCGGGCGCTGGGCGGATGCCTCCGAGGCTAGTCGTGCTGCGCCTTTGTATGCGGGTAGGGCCATGATTTTCTTTTCTTCGTACGGTCACAAACTCATCCGTCGCATCTGTGTCAGGATTTCAACGTGACTGCGTTCCTGCACAAGTTTTGGGGATGTCGTTTGACATTGAAAACTCCTGTCTGGGCCCCATGTGCACATCCAACAACACGTGCTTAGAGAGTGCTGCGTGCCCGTGCCGCTGGCGCGCGCACTATATACTAGCTGCAGCTATCTACCAGCCAGGCACGCTCATTCTACAATGCAGTGGTGCTCATTCTGGACATGAGGCATGTCTTGCTGCTACTGGGAAAGTCTTTAATGCAAAACAGGAAACTCTGGCAGTGCAATTCTTTGATAAAGGTGGGCGCACTGGCAAAAACTTACGGGCTGCGCTGCTAGCTGGTGGCTGTGCTGAATCGTCTTTGCCCACCAACACGCAGCTCTCCAACTGGCTGAAGAACATGAGGAAACGCAGAAAGCCGGCTTTGGATTGCGACCTACACATCGTCGAAGCTGTTCAGTTGGAAGTCAACAAGCTACCCCAGAGCCCGCCCAAGCAATTAGATTCAATGTTTCTATTGGAACAGCCACTCATCAGCGATTCGGAAGTGTGCGTTCTCTTTGCGTGCCCGGGTATGCTGGAAGCCCTCGGCCGCTACGACGGTCCTGATGTTGCTCTTGCGGTCGACACCAAGATGAAAGTACTTGACCGGGGTATGGGCGTGGCTACTTTGAGCTTGCTTGTGAAAGACGCTTTGCGACCAACCCATTTGCCGAGAGGCCCTGGTGGTTGTCGCACCCAAAGCCGCGCTTGGACTTCACATGGACTGCCCATAGTGCAAGCCGTGTTTCACGCCGAAACAAAGCCGAACTATATCCGCCTTTTCCAGAAGATCTGTGACCTATGGGCTTCTCGACAACCACGCCGCTCGCCGCTCCAAGAACAACTAACGCTCCAAATTCACAAAGATTTCCACCCCAGCATTGAGGAGGCTCGACTGCAAGTGCTACCGCTCTCGCGAGCGTGTGATGATTTTTTCCACCTGAAGCAAAAATCTTTGACTACTATGCAAGCCAAATGCAAGCAAGTGATTCATCGCAAAGGAAAATACATCAAAAAGAACCTCGGGTTTGCTTTGGATACACTTGAGATTCTGCAGCTGGTGCCTACCTTGCCTCTCTTTAGCTGGCTGTGGAAAGCTTTCCTAGCCACGCTCGGTAGCCTTGGCGAGCCAGAGTTAGCCAACTACCTCAAGAGTTACGAACGTGTTCTTCCGGCACAATTTGCTTGCCAAATGTTGCCAGATGACATTGTCTACGTCAGCTTCTGGATTGGCTTTGACGGCATCATCTCCGGTTCTGGTAGCGGCAGCGAGCCCGCAGAAGCTTTGCATGCATCTTGGCAACGCGAGCTCAGTCAGCTCGGCGGGCGTGGCAACATCAACCATGGCTTGCAAGTCTTGCAGCAGCTCTACACGCAACATTGGAAAGATTGGTACAAATGGGGTGACTCTTCATCTTTGTCTTTTGCGCCAGTAAGTCAAGATCCGCAGCTCATCAATGGCACAGCTTTGGTTCGTGCTGGACGTACACCCGCTGCCCATTTGAACAAGTTGCCTCGTGATACCTTGTACATCCTGCACCCATGCGCCAATCTTTCTTGGGTCGCATTTGCAAGCGCTGCCAGAACATCCCCGCTGAACTGCAGCGTTGCGCGCAAAGTTCTCCATGTCCTTCTACACCCTGAAACCTTGACTGCGCACAGTTTGCCAGACCTCTTCGCTGCTGATGGAACCCTTTCCCTGGAGTCTTTGCGGTTCCATTTTGAAAGCATCGTGTATCTCAAAATCAAACCAACTTCGATACTATGTTCTTGCCTGGCAGCCGCCATGCATGCACAATGCGAACATTCAACATTTCTTCGTAGTTGCAGCCTTCCCAACTTTTCGTCTCCGGCTTTGAATCTTTCGACAGTGCCAGCCAACAAGAAAGGTGGGCGAAAGAAAGCTTCCAACCTTCCCCCGCGCAAACGCCGCCGCGTTTCTTCCTGATGCCACAAACAAAACTTTCTTGCTGCCATGGAAAAAGGTGAGACATCAAACATTATCTAACGCAGCTCTTTCGTTTCTTTGGTCATTAAACGTTAAACTTTGCATTTTTCATACTGGCTGTGCTTGACCGATTCTGCTCGTCGATTCGACACTTCTTCGCAGTGCGTAGCCATACTGTACGATCTGTCACCGCTGCCAGGTCTTTCTCGCCTACCGCGTCGGGGCGGGGTGCGGCGCCCAACTAACTATACGCACGGTTTTTCTTCTCCCGTTAGCGCCCGCCTTGCCGTGGCGGAGAAGCTCAGTACCGCGCAACTGCGCGGGAAGCTAAGCGGCGCTTGTCGGCCTGCAGCTGCGTCTGCTAGTGCTTGGTCTCTTGTATAGCTGTATGTCGCGATTGCCGGTTGCCATTGCCGGTCGTTGCAGCGGCTAGATGCCTCGGTGCTGCTGCTGCTGCTGGTGCCTGCTGCTGCTGCTGCGGCTGCTGCTGCTGCTGCTGCTGTGCTCTGTTGCTGCTACCGCTGCGGCTGATGCCGGTGCTGCCGCCGCTGCTGCTGCATTACTGCTACCGCTGCCGCTGATGCCGCTCCTGCCGCTGCTGCTGGTGCTGCTGCTGCTGCTGCTGCTGTGCTGTTGCAATAAACACCTTCCCCAGAGCTGTCGCAAAAAACCCTGAAACAAAGTACTGTCGCAGAAAACCCTGATTACTGACGCAATTTACCCGAAGCCCACTTCCCCCCGGTCTATTCTCATTTTGGCTCATATTTTTTCTTTCCTTCACCATCCTTTTCCTGTCCTTTATGATTTCTTTCTGGTGCTTCTCTTTCTTTGCTCTTTATGTTTCTTGCCTATCCCTGGCACGCCTGTTCCCCGCCCTTTACCTGTGGTATGCGGGGTCGTGTTGGGCAATGATCTGCGGGGGCGCTGTTTGTTTTCTCCCCTTTCTTTGCTCTTTATGTTTCTTGCCTATCTCTGGCACGCCTGGTGCCTTTCACACGTGGAAGCGATCATGGTGCAGGTGAGTCAACGGTATGGGAATGTCGCTGTCCGCGCTGAGAGTTGCGTAACAGCGACACCCACATCAGAGAGCCTTCCCAGGCCATTCGGTTCAATATGTAGGCGTATGGACATTGCTTCTACACAGGGCGCTGCCCATCTGTCTGCCAGCCAGAGTATTGCAGCAGCGAAGCTTTGAGTAAACCGTTTGCAGGGTGTTGCCCACGTGTCTGCCAGCCAGAGCACTGCGACAGCGAAGTCTGGAGTGAGGCATGTTGTTTGTGTGCGAGTGTCTTGCCTGAACCTTGCAGCAGAGCTGTAGGCGTGGGAGAACCAGGTTCGTGTTCCCAAAGGTGGAGCGGGCCGGGGTCGGCGCAAAGTAGGCAGAAGAGAGGCACGGCAAATGGGTTAGCATTTTTCTTTGAAAATCTGGGAACCCAAAAAATGCGAGCGCAGCACTAGAAAAGAGCAGAAAAAGCTTGCACGTGCGGTGCGCATAGAGGAGAAACTCCTAGAAAAAGCCCCGAAAACACCTTAGAAAAAAGAGTGGAAAATCTCAGGAAACCACAGAACTTCCTAGAAAAACCATAGAACATACTGGAAAAACCCTCGAAAAAGGCATGAGTAAATCTTACAAAAACCTTTGAAAATCTTGGAAATCCAGCGGAAAACGTTACAACATCTAGGAAAAACCAAGGGCACTGGCAGGGACCAGGCCGCAACCAGGCCGGGATTCGAGCCCGGGACCATTTAGGGACCGTGCCTATTTTTCCCCGCGGGTGGAGAGGGTGCCCCAAGATGTAAATCAATTGGGATGGAGAAATCTTGGACAAATCTTGGACAATTCTTGGCTAATTCTTGGCTAATTTCACGACCTTTTCGTCACTTAAGCCAAGCTCCGGAGGGGTAGGGGAGGTATAGCCTTAGCCTTTACTTATATATGATTAGCCTTAGCCTTATCCGTTCCCGGTCTTTTTATCAACAGTCACGCCAGGGTCGGCGGATTTCTTTTGTTTCAGGTGTGCCCCAAAACATGTTAAGGGAACACCACCGACGCCACCCCCCCGCACATCTTGAAGGCTTTCAAGGAGGAGTTCTGGTGGGTCACAGCCCATGGAGAACTGATTGGCAACGGCCACTTCGGACTGCGGCTCAGGTGGCCTGTGTGGAGTTTCGGCTGCTGGATGGCCTTGGCACCTGTTCGTTGGAGGGTGGGAAGGTGGCCAGCGTTCAGATGGGGAGCAGCGATTCAAACAGGACATTGCGGGTATATTGAATACATAGGGTCTGTCCTATTACCTGTAACCGGCAGAAAACAGTTATCATTATTGTTGAACATCATCATCATCATCATCATCATCATCTGTTACAGGCAATGGGATAGATCCTACGAAACGGAATCATCGCTGACGCCCCCGAAGTCCGGACTCCGGTCGGCCGCCGGCCGGCCCCACCCCGCCCCGAGCCTCCCAGGCATCGCCGAGCTGTTGTGCTGCCGCAGCGCCAGCATGGCCCTGCGCGCTTGCGCAGCGCAGGCGTGGGCGCTGAACCAGGCCAGCGTTGGGAGGCCCAGCTTCCAGGGCGGGAGTTGTGGGGAACTCATATTTTTGCGGCCTTTGGTGGCTTTTGGCTTTTGGCGGCTTTTGGCTTTTGGCGGGTGTTGGCTTTTGGTGGCTTTTGGCTTGTGGCGGCTTTTGGCTTGTGGTGGCTTTTGGCTTTTGGCGGCTTTTGGCTTGTGGTGGCTTTTGGCTTTTGGCGGCTTCTGTTCGGAGGGATGTTTTCATATTGATCACTAGCTTCTGTTGACGTATCGGCTCTACAGCGGACTTGCGTGACCTGTGTGTGTGTGTGCCTTGCAACTCCCCTAGCCAAGCCACGAGCACGAGCTGGCCGACCAAGTAAAAAGAGAGCAGGAGGCCCAACTCCATTTTCGCGTTCTTTGTTGCAACCTGGTCCCTTGCTCGCTTCCAATTCAATGGCTGTGTCACCAGCCACGCCCCTTGTGCCACATGTCTCGCAGTGCCGTGGGCCTGACCATCTGATGACTCTGCTCCAGTCTGCCGGTCTTGGCAGTCTTCGGTCACGTTTCGTGCGGCAAGAAGCAACAGTGGACATGCTGCGCCTCATGTCCTACACCGACTTCCAAACTTTAATCTCACCTTGACGCATGATTGAGGTTTTGGTTGCATGTGCCAGTGTGTTCACATGGCGGCGACTTGACGCAGGCCGGCGGCTTGACGCCGGGTGCTCCAGATGCGTCGGCCCAGAGACCTCTGGCCCCTCGTCCTGCCGCATGGAATTTTAGCTTTCGTGACTTTCGTGTTCAAAGCAATCTCCCAGGCCTCGGCGCACGCTGCAGCTGTGTTGACCTCAGACAGCTTTATTTTCATTTTTTCTCTGGTCCGTTCCCTCATCCTGCCGCATGAAATTTTCGTGTTCAAACCGATGTCCCAGGCCTTGGCGCATGCGGCGGCTGCGTTCGCCTCAGACGGCTTCATTTTCATTTTCTTCTGTGGTCCACAACTATTGAATGGATTGGATTCGACTAAGGCTCATCCTCCTGCAGCTTCTGCTCCAAACCATGCGCTTGCCTCATATGCCTCACTTTGCGGAGTATGCGCGCTCTTGTTCTTTCGGTGCGCCCCCTACATTCCTGACGCTGCTCCTTGCACTTCTATGTGGAAGGCCACTTCGTTTCAGGTTCTCGAAGTCTTAACAAGTTCTTCTTCTCATCATCCTTCCAACCATCTTGCTATGTTGCCAGGGCATGACCGCTGCCGAGAGGATAGCTGCGCTTCGAACCACCTATCCAAAGTGATGTGAACCAGCCGACACGATAAAAGGCACACTTTGTCCTTGCCCCTAGCTTCCTTGCTCCAGCTGTGATCCTCGCATTGCTTCATTCTTTCACGCGTGAGCTCTTCAGCCTAATCTGCACTTAAAAAATAGAGGTTGAAAAAAGTGCTGCGCCTGCCGCAAAAAGGTTTCTAGGTTCACAAAGTGCTGTACCTGCAACGAAAGGTGCACTTCCATTTTCACAAAGTGCTGCGCCTGCCACGAGGTCTGCGCTTGAAGGTTCACGAAGTGCTGCGCCTGCCGCGAAATCTGCGCTTCGAGGCTCACGAAATGCCGTGCCTGCCACAAAATGAGCGACTGAAGGTGCTCAAAATGCTATGCCTGCCACGGTAACCAGTATGTGACAGCGCTACCAGAAAAAATTCCAGATTCCCAGCCTTATTCATCACGCTCAACCCCTGCGATACTCGGCGCCCCCTCACCTGCAAACTGCGCTTGCCAGATGAACCGGCTTTGGAGTTTGCATTGCCTTGCCTCGATTCTGCTGTCTTTTCCACTTTGCAGTCCGTGGATTTGCCTCGCGTGCTGGCTGCCGATCCGGTCGCAGCTGCCCGCGCATTTCATGTTCATGTGGTCCTCTTTCTGACCCAACTGCTGGGCTGCCAAGCTCCTGAGTCTCTTCCTCCCTCTGCGCACCTGTCCGGTTCGCCTCTCGAGGGTGTTCTTGGAACCGCAAAATCGCGGCAGTCTGCGTATCCATTTTCTTTTACACCTCACAGGCTTCGTGTCGCCCCAGGCCCTGCTGCACCGCTTTGCCGACCACCTCCCAGAACTCTCAGCTGCTCTCCTTCAATGGGCTGCCAGTCTCCAACACTTCCATCGAAGCCCTCCCCAACATTTTGGCTATGCCGCAAACTGCTCACACCTTGTCCCAGTTGCAGCCGCTGGTACGCTGCGGACCCTGCTCGTCTGCTCCCCGTCCGGGCATCTTCCGATGCCTGGTTCGACCCTTTTGACGATGTGACACAGGCTTTGCCTCCGTGTTTGTCGTGGCCACGTGCGTACTTGGACGCAGCTTCGCCGCTGCCCGCCGTCTCTTGGACCAACATGCTCCTCTACGACGTACGCCGCGCCGTTGTCCAATGTGGCCTTCACAAATGCCGCCCGGCCACGTGTTGGAAGGGTTTCTGGAAACGTATTCATTACTGCCGCTTAGGGTTTTGGCACCGAACGTGCTCGCGCCTGGCGCCGCCTGCACGGGCATGCTTTGCGTGCTCGGCGTGAAATCGGCACGCCTCCCCAACCCCGTGACCTATCTCCAGTTCATGCTGACAAACCTGCGCACCACTACCTTCTACGTCACCAACTGTTCCAGCAACGTTCAGCCTCAGCTGACGAATCTGTGGGCCGTTCTTCAATCTGGCCACGCAGCCTCGGAAGCTGAAATCGCCTCCTTGTCCGAACCACTATACCGCCCTTGGCCCACGCATCGCGGGTCTTGCAGCGTATGATCCCTGCTTGCCAGAAACGCACGCGCAAAAGCATGCCGGAAATGCTCCACTTCTTGCTGGGTCATCCTGAGGCCCATACACTTCTGCAGCCTTCCAGCGCCTCTATGTCGCCGACCTTCTCCGCCAGGCTTCCGCTCTTCTCACTTCCATTGCGCCTGACGACGCGCCGCCCCCACCGTCCATTCTCTTGGCGCCGCCGGACTCGCAGAGACCTGCGATCGGGTCCACTCCTGTTCGCCTGGTTCCACAAGCCCTCGACTATGTGCATCGTGGTGCTTCCCTGGGTGCCCAATTTGCACGATCCTCTGCAGCCGTTGGCGTCAGACTCCCTCCTCTACTAGCTCTGCCTTCTTGGCCCGCTGCCTTGGTTGATTTCGAGCTCGCGCTGGCGGCGCGCAGCCCCCCGCGAGGCCGCTGCGCGCCGCCCACCTCCCTTCCCTGGTGTCGTGCCTGCGCCGGAACCTGGCAATCAGATTCAGGTGCACCCGCTGCCTCCCTGTCTTTTCTCATTCCAGATTCTTGCTTCTTGCCTGCGCCCTGCAGGTGATCCTCCACAACTTGACTGCCTTCGATCTGGCCCCGCACTTCGTGGACACGCGGCTTCCTGATTTCACTCTGACTCACGAACCCTTCGAGCCTCTACACGCCCTTGCTTTGCCACCACCAGGCCAGCCGTTGGAGTTGCTCTTCAAGATCCTTGAGGACAAGTGCCAGGTCCAGTTTGCAGGTCGCACGTACGCATGCCGGGCAATCTTTGACGACTGCGGCTTTTCGATCCGAGGCATTACCCTTTGACTCTATCCGAGTGCTCCTCCGGTTGCAAAAAGAGCGCGAACAAAATTCAAAAAAACATTGTCAGCCTGTCAGCCGAGTTGTGGGTGTCAAGAGAGACGCAAGGCGGCTTTCATCATGTGGCCAAGAGGTGGATTTCCTCTCCTGCAGTCAATGGCTTGGTGCGGTTTCAGCCTCTCTTGAGGAGCACCTTGTCACTGTGGGCGGTGCCACCGTGCAAGCGCGGGCTGCGGCGCTGCGGCGCTTGGGCTTGGTCCGGTGGCTCAGCGGTGCCAGCCGTGTTGCGGACGGTGGGACTTTGCTCAAAGGACATGCATAGTGAGGCTCTGCTGCTGGGAGCGGCACCAGGGTGGTAGATGGTATCAGATGCTTTGGCGTGTTTTTGAACTGGTGGACGGTCCTCGGTTCCGGAGCCGCAGACACTGAGCCAATTCGGAAGCCTTTGTGCACTCTCCAAGTCTTCAGCTGAGGTCGCCGACGGCTGCGACGCGCCGGCCCGGCGGCGCGTGGCGCGGAGGGCGCTGCAGTGCCTGGGGGATGGGAGTGCGGTGCGGAGGCCCAGCCGACGCCTCTTGTTGGGACGGTGAATGGAGGGAGAACTCGGTGAGGTAGGCTTTTGGAGGCACTTTCAAGCTGGCATGAGCTATAAAAGTCACACACCTCATTCCCATCTCATTTACCTTTTTGGTTTCCACCGCCTTGGAAGACCCTAGAAACTCCGGGACCCTAACCAAAAAACCATCCTCAAAAACCCACCGTGAAGGAACGGCCTGTGCAGTGACAGGTGGAAACTGTCTTGGTATTTTGGACCTCCGAGTGACTTGGGCTCACCTGCCCAGGCTTGCCTCCGCAAGGCAGCGGCCATCGTGCTGACCCGCTTGAGTGGGGATTGGGAGGCGGAGTTTGGGGGGTGTTTGGCCTCGGCCCTGCATCTTCTCCGGAGGGCGAGGGAAGGATCTGATCCATCCCCAGGCGTTTCAAGGAAAGACAGGGAGAATTGGTGCATTGGCCAAATTCAGACTTCTTGCCGTGAGCCCGTTTGCGCTTGCGACCCAAGCCCAAGCCGTTTTGTTGGGTTTTTTTGAGTGCCGAGAGCTATTGCTCTTGGTCGTTGACCCTGGGCCCATCGAGAGCCCCTTCTTCCTAGCTGTTGTGCAAGCCGCTAGGAGAACCAGCCGGGGGTGGCAGTGGTGTTGGAGCCTGCGCCACTTGGACCTGCGGGGAGGGGATGCGTGAACAGCCCCCAAATTCCACTTGCCCTCGCAGCCTTACTGAATCCAACAGACTTGTGGTTTGAGTCCTCTTCTTCGCACAAGTTGAGGTCAGACGGCCTGGACCTTCTCGGCTCCAAGCTGACTGCGCGTCGACGCCGTCGACGCTCCCCCGAGGTTGGCCGATGATGATGTGACCGTGGCGGGCCCCAGGAAACTGTGGAGAAATGTGACTGGAGACGACCGAGGAAACTGCGTGGTAGTGAAATTGACTCATATATAATCACGCATATGATTCCGCATATGATATATACAATATATATATAAATATATAATAGTAAAAATAGTAATAACAATAGTAATAATAGAAGCAATAACAATAGATAATGACTCAAGAACGCCCCAGAATTGGGGGAGAATGACTACCAAGCAGTGGGCTCCATGGCCGCCTTCCGCAACTCCGAAGGGAGAGGGAGAGTCAGGGAGAGAATCCGACTTTGTGGGCAAAGAGGTTTTCGAAGGATTTCCACGGCTTCGCCTGAAGCAGGTGAGCACGATGGCCGCAAAGGCCCTGGCGTGTGTGGCCCCCAAGAATGAGGCCAGGGAGGGGCGCCAGGGGGAGGGATTCGGTCTGCCTGGTCTCAATGCAGTGAGCAGCAGTCGGGCAATAGCCAAAACCTTCCTTGACATTCCATTAAGCATCTATGTCATATCAATCTGCGGCGTAAGGAACACATTGTGCCGCGGAAGGTCGCGGAAGCTCCATGTTGAACACACTTGTTGCGTAAGGTTTGCGTAAGTACTGATCTTTACAGCATGAAGAGCATAGCAGCCTAGTGTATTGCTGCGTAAGCAAAACCTTTGGGGGAACCTCGCGGAATCATAATTGTGTCATGACGTAAGCTTTGCGTAAGACTTGTTAACCAAGGCCTCGCGTAAGCTAAAGCTGTGGTTGCGTAAGCAACGGCAACGCGCAAACACCAGCGTAAGAACTTATAGAGGTTTAATCATACGTATTGGCCGAAGCTCAGTTGACTTGTGTGGCATTGCGAGGAGTGCCGAGGCCTCTTCATACTTTGCTGATCTGGCCTCCACATAGGTCCCACGGCATCATTGGAGAAATAGAAGATGTACATATGTATACATATATATATATATTGATATATAAGGGCCTTTGGTTGGGCAGGTGACCAGGCATTCCTTTTCAAGGTTCCCCTTCAGGCTGTGGCTGCTGCCCTACGCCAGCTGACGCATCCGTCGCCAAAGGCTTCGTGCTTCATTGCCTTTGAATGTCGGAATGGATCTTAGCTGAGGTTGGCTTCCAAATTGCACTGTTGCACCATGTGGTGGAGCCGGTCTTGATGCTGTTCCTTTCGCTCTTCTTTCGAGAATTCATCTCCATCAATTCCGTGTGTTGAGGATGTCACTGGAGCCTTGGTGACAGTGAGCTGTGGTGATTCTTTTTCCCCCAGAGGTGCGGGCTGCAGCCTTGGGTGTGCTAGGGCAGGTGGCAGTGCGGACGCGGCTGGTCGTTGGGCAGCCTGGAGTGGCAGGTTGGGGAGATTTGAGGAGCACAGATGCTGTTCATTGATTGCATTGCTAGGTTTGTGTGGAGTTGGTTTCAAAAACTAAGATTGCAGCCCACCGGACACAAAGCATGGCATTTCTTAGTTCGAGGCAGGTGCAACACGGAGCTCAATTTGCGCTTTCGCCGGTGTTGTTCGGTTAGCTCATTCCACTCCGCCCACTAGCGAGTGCTTGAAAGATAGCATGATGCTACCCCGTTTTTAGCCATCAGGCTTGGACCTTTGCCTGTTGACTTTGACCACATTTTGCCTCTTCCACGGTGGGGCAGTACGATGCGAAAAGCAAGAGGCCTCCACCCGTTCCTCCACATGCCGACGAACATGGAATTTCAGGGTCCTGGGTCCTGGCACTTGGACGACCCACCCTAAGCGCGCCCCTACCGTGGTGCTCTTGCATCTTCAGGTTCCATGAGGATCGATGGATCCGATCGATGGATCTGGAGGAGATTCCGCCCTAAAGCCCATCGGGGGTTTTCGCTGCTTCCGAAGAACCCTCCGAGGTGCGAAGGGTCATTGAGATGCTGGTGGACCTGGATTGGCTGGAGCCACAGAACCGAACTCCATAGATTTCGTGGTGTTGGTGGGATGAGAGAGTGAGAGAGAGAGAGAGAGAGACTGCACGGGGATTTTCCCAGGGGTGCCTGTGCTGTGTGGCAGGGCCCAGCACGCACATCATGATGTCTGAGCACTCGGGAGTTGGACGACTTTCTATAGCACATGTATATAGGTAGCCCACTTTCTTTTTTGGATAAGCCTGTACCAGTACCAATTTGATATACACAATTTTTTTGGGCATACACCATTCCACTGTTGAAGTGGTTGGATGGCATGTCTCCCAGCCTCCTTCGCCGAGACGGCTTTGAGGCAAGTTCGTGCCGCCGCATGCCGCGCACTGCCCCGTGTGGTGGAGCGAGGCGTGGAGCGAGATGGGCGGGGAGCGAGGCGTCGTCAGACATCGGCGGAGCAAGATGTGTGGGGCGGTCATGGCCATCACATGACTGGTAACCAGCGTGTAACGTGGACCAAGTGGACCCCACTTTTCTTCTGAAGAACTCCCTGGCAGTTTTTTTTTTTTTTTGGGATGTTCACTTAGTTTATTTTTCTGGTGAGGAGGTCGATGTGTTTGCTTGTTTGCTTCTTTGCAAGTTGCCCAAGGCTGCTGACCGCCGCACGGCCAGTGACGCCTTCTTCACACAGATGTTGACACTTCTAGTAGTAACAAGTGCCTTACTAGTAGAAACAAGTGCCTTACTAGTGTAACCCCCCACCGAGCGGCCCCGGACAGTCCCGACGAGCGGCGCCGAGTCCATCAGGCGAGAGCTCGGCGGCGGAGGCCCTGCAGGAGCGGACGGTGACACTGCGCTGGTTCCCTGCGGCCGAGCTGATGGCATACTCATGCCTCGATAGAGTCACCAATATAGTACGGATGTGATCGGATTTGATCCGATTTGGATCTAACTTTCATGAAGCTCCTTCCTTGCCGTTCGGTTTCTGACCTCACAGGGGCCTTCAGGCTCCCACGGTCCAGGAAGACCCATGATCCCATCCTGGTGGGCCACCGAGAGATGGAAGACAAGCGAGAATCTGGTGATCCACCCTCCACCCTCCACTGTTGCAAATGATGGTGGTCAACCCCACCATTTTCATAATATATAAAATCAATGACAGGACCCCCTGCACGATATTGACGGGATGGTCCAAGATTTACTGAAACATCACCAACAAAGACTCCTAATGACTGTTGATGAAAGGCAGCCTCCCCATATGAAGAGGTTTTAGAACCCATTGACCCGTTGCCTAGGGTGTTATCATTCCATGACCCATCCCACCTCACATGTCCCGGTCAAACACCCTTTTGCCACCACGCCGGTCCCCGCGAAGGCCGCGCTGACCAAAGACCTCGATGGCCGCGTGCGGCGTGCGGCTGCCGGTGCGCTGGCGCGGACACCTGAAGGGAGAAACAACAACCAGAAGATGCACATGGATGATGGATGATGACGGATGTTAGGTGTTTGTAGGAGTTGAGGTTCAAAGGGGTGCTTTTATCTCACGCTTGTGGACCTCGGGGTGAGATGCTCGTTGTACTCGATGTAACTGGGCCCATCCGCCTCACCCATCCTCACCATAGACCCCGATCAGCACCCGTTGGAAAAAAGAAACCTTACACACATGGGTGAAGTGGCTTCGAAATCGTTCACGTTCAATGGCACAGTTACGGAGTTGATTGGACGTCAGTTTCAGAAATTGGTTGTGAAAGAACAGGATGGGGGCCGGTGCAGGTGGACTCGCTCCGTGTTCGTTCGAACTTCTCTCTTTTCCAGCTTTTCCTCCTTCGGAAATGGAGGCAGTGGACATACCGGCCGAGGTTCATGTGGTTCCGCATCCTTCCCTCCCTTTCTTGATCTTGAAGGCACGGGAGTCCTGAGCGTGGAGCATGAGGGTGATGCTTTGTTGAACAGGAGAAAGTGAGCTGACCAAATGCTACACCCCCCTGGAACTAGCATGGAAGTGGACAAATGCCCCTTGGAAGACGACCGTTTTCCTCTTACAATCCGGGGTGCTTTCCACTTCCATGTTAGTTCCGGAGAGATCTCACAGAGAGACGGCCAGGGAAGTCTACCATAGAAGTTCCTGCAGCTGAGAACATCAGTTGTGAAGTCTTAGAATCGCTCCGTGCTAGCCGAGCGCGCCAGGCGGAAGAGGCGAAGCAGGTGAAGAGGAAGGCCGCTTCGGGGGGGCACCCTGGAAGAGATGAAACATTGGAACCTTGGGAAGAACAACCTCAGGTTTGTACTTTCTTAGAACTTTTTTTTCTTCCCCTCCACTGTTATTGGAACCAAGGGTCCAAAGAAGGCATATGTGCCCAAATGCGACAGAGAATTTGGGCCCGGAGTCCTCTAAGCCGATGTGACTGCGGGCACCGGGTGGGCGGTTTCTCCGGTTGCCCCCGCACGCGATCCTTGGGTCTCGAGCTCCACAAAGCGAGCCACGTCGGGCAGATGGAGCGCCGCTTCCGAGCTCGTCAGCTTTCTACGTGTTCAGGCTCCTCCGGGTCCTGTTCGCGTGGGGTCTGAGCGGCGAGACGTGCGGAGGAGGTAGTGAGAGACGTGCCGATGAGGGAGGCGATTCTGGATGGGCGGAGAACGCCGCAGGCAGTGATGGGATGGAACGTAGCACCAGAATTACAACTTTATTCCTCGCCCCATTTGGATGAGGGCATGCAGGACTTCAGGAATTGCTAGGATCTCCCTCCAGAATAATTCTTCTGGGTTTTTTCAAAGTTGCTTGGTCTTGGTAGGTCTTGTTTCAGATCGCCTTCCCTCATTTGGGATGAAGGGTGGGGCGGAAGGCTGAAACCCATGGGGTTTGGCCATTCCGTTTGGGTCTGCTGAGGGGTCTGCTGCTCAGCCAAAGGGGAGTGCTCGGCGCTCGACCAGCTCCAGGGGGGCGGTCGACTCACGTGGAGATGGGTGGTTCGTTTGGTGTGAGAGATGGAACCTGCCAGGTCGTTGGATTCTGATCAGATCGGATCTGTCAGGGTTAGTCCCGGACGAATCTTCATGGTGGATTTGCATCATGAGTCACGGTCAATTGCCTGGCTTTTGGGGGTCTTTTTGCGCAGGCCTCCCATGCTGCAAGCGGTCGTCCTCGCGCGCGACGTGGGAGCGAACTCGTGTGATTCCTTGACCATCGGCCCCCGCGGGGACTGTCAAATGGACGTGTGGCATGGGGAGTGTCAAACAGCTAAAGGGGAAGGAGAGCCAAAGAGGCTCAGCACGCTTTGTTGTGGGTGCCATTCTTGACTTTTCATGTGATTCTTTTGGCAGATGGTGGGTGGAAGATGGTGGAAGGTCTCACCATCACCAACTTGATTGCCTTGCAGCCGCCGGCTCCAGCTGGGTGTCCACCACACACCCCTTTCGCCGGCTCCTCGATCGAGTCGGGGATGAAGATCTACAATGCAGCACCTCAGCTTCAGCGGATGCTTCATGAGTTGAAAGCTTGGTTGCTGACTCAATGTTCCTACTCCACGATCAACCATGTGGGCCCGAGTCAAGAGGGTCCATTGTGTGTGGGGGTCTGTTCAGAAGGACGCAAAATGGAGACCACATCAACAAACCGAAGCTGAGTTGACCTTACATACTTCACAAATTTGCTTTCTACGGACTTATATAACCCATGACCCCTTGGTTAATGGACACCCGGACAAGAATCGTTTTTGTTTGTTTTGTTCCTAGTGGCGATGCCCTCGTTCCTAGTAGCGTCCTTGCTCCGTTCGTAGCGATGCCCTGTGTTCCGTTCGTAGCGATGCCAGGAGCTCCGTTCGTAGCGTCCTTGCTCCCTACCCTGTTCCACCACTTCTGGGCCGCTCGTCGTGCCGCCTTCGCCGCCCAGGTGCCTCTCCTCACCGCGCTGGCGCTGTGGCCGGCGACCGCCAGCGAGGCCTTCGATGCCTTCGATGCGGCGCCGCAGCGCCACCGAAAGCCACACCTCAAGGGACAGCAGGGAGTGGAGACTTGGAATTGATGTCCCATGGATTTGGGCCGAAGATCGGATGGACTGAGAGGACAGAGAGGTTCTGACTCTCAGTTCTCTTTCGACTGAGCAGTGTGGACCAGTCTCGTCCTTGTTCAGCTCAGGAACACCTGAAGTTCCAGCACAGCCTGGTGGCGCAGACCGCCGCGGAGGCAGAGGCCATGCGCAGCCGAGAGGCGCAGGTCTTTGAACAGGGCCGCCACATGCGAGCGCGTGAGGCGAGGCGCCCACGGGGTTCTGGACGGGGAAGGGTTGTGCCAACGGGTTTGGCGGCTGCACAAGAAGCCTCATGAACAACAACACGCCATGTGCGGGGGTTTAAAATGCTAACTTTGCGAAATGGAGGGATGCCTCATTCTGACTCATTCTTGATCATCTTCGATCGATTGAAGTAGGCCATTGAAGTGGGGGAGGGCCCCAAAATCAAGAGCTGCCATAGGGCACTGAGACACTCCAAATATGTCCTGTTTTGCTAGTGACGGCTCTGGGGGTGGACTCAAATGTTCAGCCATGCCTTGACCGTCGTCGCGAGCTGAAGAGCTGGAGGCGCTCTATGAGAAGCACCTGGCAGAGTGCCGGGGTGACCACTTCTGCGAGAAGCAGGTGGCAGCGAAGCAGATGCAGATTGAGCAGCTCGTGGCCAAGCTGCATCTGGTGCAGGTGCCAGTGAGATGGGTGGAGTTGAGAAGATGACCGGGGGGGCTGCAACGTTGGTGCGCATGGGCGCCCCTGTTGCACTTCTTTGAGTTCTACTGTTCAGTGTCCTTCTCCGGAGACAGGATGTTAGCCACATCAGCCTTGGGCCTCCATTGGTGAAGGTGGACACTTTGTCGTGGTTGTTGAATCTAGGTTTGAGCCAATGGTTTGTCATGCCCTTGGTAGTTGAGTGGGGAAGTGGAAAGTACGGCAAACAGCGGCAAGACAACCGGACAAGCACGCCTTTGGTCACCCTTCTGTGCTTTTGTCATCGAGGTGGCCACTGGTCAAGCACCGGTCGCTGTGATGGAGGGCCGCGAAGAAGAGCACAAGGCCAGGGGTGTGGAAGTGGAGGGAGGTCCCAATAGGCCCGATGGAGACATGTCCCAGACGACTTCGGCCTCGGCGATGTTCCCGGGGCTGGGGGGCTCGCACGAACGTCGTGTGAGATCAGGATGCCACCGGACGGACGTGTTTGGGTGTGGACGGGCATATCCTGCCAACTTGGAGAGTCTTTTGGAAGCTACGCCGTGCGCTGCGGTGATCCTATGCCGTTGACCGGAGATGAATGATGTGGGGTTGGGGTGGTAGGAGTTTTGCAGACACTATGTGGCATCATCGTATCTAAAGGAGCCGCTGAGGTTCAAACGAGAGGATTCCTTTTCAGATTGGGGGACTCAGAGCCAAATGGCTTGCAACACACAGTTTCACATCGAATTTCCCGAGTCGATGGGGGCTTCTTCGAAGGAGACTGGCTTCCTTTGCTTTGACATGTGGCCCCTCACATCTCAGTGTGGGGGGGGGGTCGCTTTCATCATTCCGTCGTTGCAGGCGCCCACTGCGGAAGCACCCAGCACATCCTCATGGCTTAGGCTATCTTGCACTGGTCGAGTGGGGGCTGTTGGGGCGCAAGTCGAGGGTAGGCTGAAGAGCCACCTCAACAACCAACGCGGCCATTGTAAGGCTTGACATCGAAATTGTGCAGGAGCAGATCGGCAGAAGACCCAAGATCAGACACGTGTTTGAATTTCTTTGCATTTTGGATCATTTTGGAATTTCAGTTTCAGGAAGCCGCGCCACTGACATGGAACTTAATTCTCTCTCTCTCTCTCTCTATATACGCCCGCATATATGTTGAAAATGGCATCCAGTACTCAAGACTAAGATTAGGATCTAGCCGGGACGCCATTGGGCGCGATCCCGCGCAGGCAGAAGATGCATCATGCTGTAGCGAGCGTGACGGTCGCTCGGCTTCAGAATGTGTGAACCAGGCATATGTCACCCGTGTGAAAGAAGGGATCCTGGTTGGCTGCAAAAGGCTCCCAAAAAGTCGTTTTCCCCACCCAGTTGGCTGGTGGCGGCTCGGTTTTCGCCTCCGGCTCATTCTCACCGACCCCAGCCTTGGCATGCACAATGGGTGCCATCTTGAAAGCCTTGTGCTCGAGGCCGCCTTGCGGTAAGAGCTGATGAGCCTGGCAGGGCCCGTCGTCGAACGACCAAAAAGAAGGGGGACGAGCGAGCGGCCTTGGAGGGTGGCGGAGTTCTCAGCACCAGGAGGCGCAACAGAAGGTTTTGGGATAGAGACCGACCTGGTGGAGGGGTCAGATCGGTCGAACTCATCGCTAGAGGAACATCGATTTGGGAGTGTTGTGGGTTTCCATGCGAGATGCCAAGGGCACACCGCACCGATCCACGGGGCCATTGTTCCTCTTGATTTGTGAGGCATGCACGAACAGAACTAGCTAGTCTGCCCGGAGCGGCTGTGGAATGACCTGAATCTAGAAAGCATCAAGGCGATATGGCTGAATATGGCTTCTGTGAGGCCAGGTGTGGACAATGACCAGGTATTGCCACGGCAGCCATGGGCATGTTTGAGGAGAGTAGGTTCTGGCATTGTGAGGAGCAGCTTTGGCTCCTAACGAGATTCAAACTAATTGAAGCCTGCTACGTCAAAACATGCAAAAGCAAGCAGCAAAAGGATGATGATGTGTCCTCGTTTCTTGTTAGGAATTCATAGCCATAGGATGCCATAGGCACGTCAAAGCCATGCAGAGTGTTCACACCATGAGTATGAGGCTTCTTCAAAGATCCATATATTTCTCCCAGGAAGTGGTTTGGGAGAGTCTTCATCTGACTATGCAGATGCCCCCCGCGTGGAGTCGTTGTTACTCCAACCTCTGAACCCCTGGGTTGAGCTTCGATTTGATTCCAACTTGGAACCCTGGGTTAGGGTTGGAATGAACTCACCCTGAACTGCCTCCCGCATCTCCCTGCCCTTGTGGCCGACCCACCCATTTGAACCGACCCCCGGTTAGACCCACCGAGCCCGGGCATGACGTCCATGTGAACCGCCATGGCTGCAATCCCCGCAGACCTCGGTGAGTCCTCGTCCGCGGAGGTGACCAAGAGGGGTCTCGCATTGGGGCTTTCGCGCGGTTGTGGCGCGGCGTTCGACCGCGGCTTTGTACGCGGTTTTCGTGCTGTTGGTGGGATCCCCTTCAGCAACGGCAGGTGGAGGTTTTTTGGAGCAAGTGGAGCATGATTAGACATGACTAGAGATGACTAGACTACAGTCTCTGAAGCTGTCAACGCAGGCCGCACGGATGGTGGATGTGGGAGGTTAGTTGAACTCGATTATTGACTTGCTTTGTGGTGGGTTATGAATTATGGATGGTCGTCTTATAGAGGCACGGTTGAGGTTACCTACAGCAAGTTCGGCTTCTGCCACGGGATCCTGCAACAACGAAACAACAGGCCGAAGAGAAAGCCCCAGACAAAGCAGAAGCCAAGCGCTTGCGGAAGAGCGAGCGGAAGGAGCAGAAGAGGCTGCATGCCAAAGAGCACAGGCCAAGCGGCGAGTGTTGCCGAAGAAGCGGCCTGGCTCCCTGATCTGGAGCTAGGCTTTTTGCGCAAGAATGCCGCGATGGTGATGGTTTCCGCATTAGCCAGGCTCATGAGGCAGTAGGGCTTGATGCAGAAATTCTCCACTCCCTACTAATCCTTTACCATTTCCTGTTTCTCTTTTCTAGAGGTTTGGGTCCCCCCCCACCAGCTGGACAACACCGCACCTCGACGACCGAAAGAATCACCCGGACCGGGCGGGCGTCGGGTCGTGGCATTGTGGGAGGCAGCAAAGGAACAGGGCGCAGAAAGAGCGAAAGCAAGAGCTTCGAAAAGAGAAGCTGGAGTCCATGTGTTTTGGCCTGTGAGCATGTGTATCTGAGTCAGGCGGACCAGGGCAGGACAAGAAACAGGTCGGGAAGGCAACTGTGCTTTTGTAGAGTCACAAGGCGACATTGGCAACTAGACGATTTTTGTGCATCAAGTAGCTCTGCTTTCTCAACTGGGTGGAGTTGCAGCACACCGCCACCCATCCACCCCATTGTGGGATGCTTTTTGGACCCAGCTGGGCCACTGACCACTTAAGACGAGACGTAAACCCCGAGGTCCGCCGAGGAGAGGGCGGAGTTCTTGGAGCAGGAGCGTCAGGCCAGCGCCAGCGCGGAGTTCGATGCCGATCCTGATCCTCTATTGCCACAACTGTGTAGTTGGGTCATTCTCAAGTGAAGGATGCACATGCATTTTTTTTTGATCATGGGAATCCGAATTTCATGCACTTGGGGGATCATCATGCACTTGGGATAATCTTAGGATTTCTTATTGGTCTCAAGTGGACTTTTTGACACACTACTCTTCAGTGAGGCTGGGTACCGTTTGGTACCATCTCATTCCTCTCCCCGATCTCCTCTCCTCCCTCAGCCCTTGGAGACCTTAGAAGGGTCATTTGACTCACCCATTCCACCGGTCTTCCACATTGTTGCGGGCACCTCCAGTGTCAGCTCCGAACAAGACTGACCAGCAAAAGCACCCTGCCTGAACATCGCCAAAGCTATGCCTACATGATGCCTGCATCCGCCCCTGCAGTACATACCCCTTTGTCCTTTACAGTGTCCGTAATTCAAGCTTTCCCCCCTCAGCCTTTGTCCGCGGAACGAGACCCGCGCCAGGCGGGCCGCGACCGGAAGGCTTTCCTGGAGACGTCGCTGACGGAGGCCTTCGAGCGTGGGCGGCCCCGGGTGGTGCCTTGGCGGGAGAACCTGGTGAGGAGGGTATGAGACATATAGCTTGGTGGTTTTGCTCGGTCACGGCGTTCGGGTGGGAAAACACACCGAAACAAGTGGCAAACCCATCAAACCCTATGATTATAAGACACTCGGTTTTTCTTAATCTAACAGTCTACATCCAGTTTTCCCAACCGGTTCGGTGGACACGGCGCCCGGAACGCTCAAGTTCCTACGGTGTTCCTTTCAGGTGGTGAATTGCAGCTTCGACCAGTCCATGGACGTGCGCGAGCTCACCTCGCTGGCGAAGCAAATCCAGCTGGCCTACACGCAGGCCGGAGCCGCGCGCGGCGACCGAGGCTCCGAGGGTGTGGTCCCGCCAGGACATGGAGCCTTCGTATCATGTGACGGTGGGTGCCAGGCACTGTTTAGATACATCGTTCTTTTTCTGCCGCGGTGGTGGTGTTGATGGTGGTGACGGAAAACGGAGGGTCAACTTGTAGCAGCAGGCTGGAGCACGTCGACACATCCTCCACATGCCAAACGAAGTCAACAGAAAAACCTCACCCAGTCACCCACGAGTTGCGGCCAAGTGGTGCGAGGCGCGGAACATGGGCAGCAAGGTGCAGTTGCACCTCACCTCCTTGGGTCCCGAAAACCGCGCCTGGCGGGGCTTGGAAGCTCAAGGGGTGAGGGGTTGGAAGATGCATCTCCACGAGAAGTCGGTCTGGGAGGTTTTTGCAGAGGAAGCCAGGCGTGGTCTTCGCGGGGTGGCGGGAAGGAAGGGGGTGGCAGGGGAGGGTTTGGAGCTCAGATCTTCCGGAGATCAATTGGTCCTGTGCGCGACAGGTCTGGCAAGCTGGTGATTCTAACGCCCGATGCCGATGAGGACCGGCTGCCCTTTTTGGAGGGTCGAGCAGGGGCAGAGCTTCAAACGCAACCATGAATTGCAATCCCACATCCCTGATACCCCCAAAACCCCCGACACCCCCGGCCACACCTCCCCAGGCTCCCAATGGCAGGCTCCCTGCCCCTGTTGCGCGCATGGCAGGAACTGGTGGACGTCTCCGACGAGGAGGTCTACGTCATCGGCGGCATCGTGGATCGCTCCGCCGGGCGGCTCGGGGGCGGAGGCACCCCGCGCGAGGCCGGACAGGCCAACCTTCCTTCCGACGGCATGCCAGAGTAGAGAGGAGCGCAGGTGGCATTCCAAAGGATCCTTCTTGTGCATGTGCATGCTAGTGAGTGCAAAGGGCCGAACATCATCCGCGTTGAACCTTGGTGGTCTGCTTTCTTTTGAGCGACCCCAGGCCGTGATTGATGGAGACCTTGTAACTGGTGACCTCACAAGTGACCTTTTGCCTGGACCCTGGAGACCCTCTCTCCACAGGTTTCCCGCCTTCCGGGGTGCGATGGGTGGTCCGAGGTGAAGAAGATGCAGAGCCTGGCGCAGGCCCAGGAGTTTGGAGCCCAGAAGCGCCCTGGCTTCCTTCGTTGGAGGAGGGCGGAGCTGGGACTGGGAAGCCTACTGTGCCGCGGTGCATGGGATTCTTGGGTACAGGGCCCCAAGGGACCTTCTTCTGTCCAAGGAGCCATGCGCACTCGCTCCCGGTCCCAAGCGCTTCCAGGCTTCGGAAGCTCCCGCTGAAGAGCTTTGGCCCCAAGGGCTGCTGCCCCGTGCTGAACGTGGACTGTGTGGCCCGGACGCCGAGAGGTTTTGGGGGGTCGGAGTGGAGGACAGTAGGAGGCTTGGACGATTTCTGGTGTTGTATATGATTTGCTGCCGTAGTCGAAGCGGGGAAAGTTTGTAGGTTGCAGCGATTGCCCAACTATCATCCCAGTGAGCTTTCTAACCCACTGCTTGTTCTCCACCAGTCCTGTGGGCTCAAAAGCGCGCTGCGCTGCCCACTGCGATGTCGCCGAACAAAGAGGGGCCACGGGAGGCGGGGGTTCATCTTTGTATGGGAAGCCATGCATATGTGGGCATGGCTGCAGCAAAATATAAAGTAGTCTCGACGCCAAGGGCCCCAAGCTCATTCATAAAGGTTGCTTTGCAATCTTTTCCTACCCAAACGTTTGGTGATCTCCAGAATCATGAGTGGAAGAAGGCCAACAGTTGGTGCCTTGACAGCCATGTAGGGTGCTTTGTTGGCACTGGCTCCCATATAAGGACCATCAATCCAGATGAGAATGCGTGCTTGTTCTTTATTCAGTCCATAATGGCATGTTTGAACATTCGGACTCTCAAAAGTTGCAGCTGCTTGACGCAGCACATCTATTATTGTTATTTTCATTTGCTGGGCAATTCTTACGCAAACATGTTGGCTGGAAGGTGGAGTTTTTGAGACATGCGGAGGAGGAGGAGACTGTGGAGAAGTTGGGGTGTGTGATGTGCGAGGTTGGGAAGGTGCTCGGAAGGGTCAGCCATGCGGTGTGCTATTCATTCCCAGGCTGGGCTGGGCTTGTCAAGAACTGAGAAGACACAAGTTCACCCCTTTGAAACTTTGTTTGAAACCAAGTGGATGTGATTTGCCTTCTCCTTGTAGTCAAAGAGCCATATCAAAGAGGCAGATGAAAGATGGTGTGCATTTTCGTTCGAGTGAATGTGCCCGGGCCCTTTCAGCGTTGGAACGTCCCGCCCAAGCAAGCCCTCAGGCGACTCACAGGGGTGTTTTTTCTCTGATATGCCAGTCAATGACCGTGGACCGGCGGTTTCTCGAGCCCCTTGAGCCCGCAGGGGGTCTGGGAGGGCTTCTGGGTCGGTGGCCCTGCAGGGCTCCCTTGAGCGTTTGGGCAGGACCTGGATGCCTGGACTGTAGTCCAAAAGCTTTGCGGCGGGAAGCGTGAAGCCGCCGTGGGGGACGCCCGGTTGGGGGGTTGTGAGCTGCCCGGGTTTGCCGCCCGGGGTGTGCCGCCATCACTGATTCAAGCGTCATGTGTGGAACATCATTTCGCCCACATCGTGTAAATGAGCTCAAGAGATTTTCTCAGAACGGATGTCCGGACGCATTGATGCGCAGGTCCGTGGTCCCAAGTACACTGACACACCTCATTTGCGCCAAAAGCATGCTTTTGCCAGGCACTCGTCCTGATGGGCCTGACCTGCCTCATCCTAGCTCTCTTTCAACTCAGGCCTGGCCATGAAAGAAGAAGCCTGCCCAGGGATGATGTTAGACGAGATTTTTTCATTTCACGATATGGGATGGGGATCTTATTTATACAAATATAAACCTCTCTTTCCGTCTGTCTATGTAAGCAGCTACCGGGTGTGACCGGGAGCCTGGACATCCCTGTTCCAACAACCTCCCAAAAAGGTTGCATTCAGTGTTTGAGTGCAGACTCTTGCCTGCAGGTGCTGGAGATGATGGGCTGTTTTCATCACAAGATCGGCCCGTTTTCATCGTGCCCACCGGCTTAGGGCTGTACAAAGAGTTCATGTTCCACGGCGACATCGCCTGGATCCGCGCGGAGCCCGCGCTGGACACCTGTGCCGCGGTGGGGCGACGAAAGAACGGACCGCCTGAGCCTCCTGGAGGCTCAGCGGTGTGTCGGATGCGCAGGCAAGTAGGCTTCGGAGGAAAAAGAGTTGTCCAGCTTTCCACTGTCAACTGAACCGTTTATATATATATAGTATATATATATATATATATTTTTTTTTAAAATAATATATATATATTTTTACATTTGACATTGATCCTACTTGGCTACCCCTGGCAGAGCCAAAAGAATGAGGGGTGCAAGGGCCGAGGACTAGTTTGGGGCCCAATTATCTCTGCCCAGTCGCGTGCCACTTTCCGGAATCCAAGGTCCGCATCCTTTGTGAGTGGCTGCGGAAGAGGGATTGGTCAGGGGAGCTCAGAGTGTGGGGCGAGGTCTGAGACACAAAGGCCACCCAAGGAGGGGTCGGTCCATGGACTGCCCCAAGACCGCCTTCCAGGTGGAGCTGCTTGGAACAACAGCAGCAGCAGCAGCAACAGCAGCAGCAGCAGCAGCAACAGCAACAGCAACAGCAACAGCAACAGCCACAGCCTTCAATGCCTAGGGTGGTTCACAAAACACCAGCCCTTGATATCACTTCACTTCATCTCGCACCTCGCTGGTTTTGAGGCCCAGCGTCTTCGAGGAGTGTCTTCCAGGGCGGCGCTTGGGCGAGCGCCCGGTCGCTGGGCGGAGAACCGGGAGGTGGGTCGAAGCGGGAAGTGGGGCCCTGAACCGGGAGGCTCAAGACTATCCAAGAGAGGTGAAGTGACCTGAAAAAGGACCCGGCATAGCCCGGCATAGTCTATTTATAGGAATAGTCGTCGAACTAGGGTTCTGAAAAACATCTCCGTTGGTATGAAGGGTCAAGGATGCACGAGCTTGGACACTTAAGTCACTTGTTGACACGTGACTATGGCGGTTCGAAAGATGCACCACTTCTGTGGTCAAAGGCCCAGGAGAGGGACGACATTTGAGGACACAGTAAGGTGCTATCGTAAGCTCTTTTTCTAAGTATGTATAATATATGTCTAATTTGTGTCTGAGGGGTTGCGTCGAGTCGAAGAGGAAAGGACCGCTGGGAGAGTTCGAGCTTCTCCCCATGGGCCCCATGCAGCCAGATATGACGATTCAGTCCTGTTTTCCCTAGAGAGAGATGCCATCAGGTCATGTCGAAGCGGCAGCGGAGGGCCCAGAGGGCACTCGAGAGAGAGGATGGGGTTGCGCCGGTGGTGGAGGGTGAGGGTGAGCTGAAGGGCAAATTGGAGCTTTGATAGCTTAATTGCAACTTACATGACATGGGCATGACCACCGGTAGGTTGGAAGATGAGTTGTAGTTTTGACTGAACAGGTGCAGCCTTTGGGTGGGCAGCAGTCATATGAAAATGTCCAAGATCTTTTGCGTTCCTGGCGGTCGCCGGTCGCTGCAGTCCTTGCCAGGATGCGGGCCAGGCAGCGGACGATGCTGCTGAAGATGCCGCCGATCCTGAAAGCACAGCCTGAGAGTTGTGGAAAACGATCCAGCGGCTCTGGAGGTGGAGGTCGAGTGGCAAGGGGGGTCGAGTGGTGTGACGCGCCGGGTGCCACGTTTAGTCGCAGCGTTCTGACATGTTCTGACCATGTATGCAGTCAGAATTTGCTGCAACGCCCTACTCTTACAGGCCACCTTGCAGTAGGCGCAGGCTTGTAGATGCCATACCAGAAAGGTTGCGGCCTGGCAGTGTGTGGTGCACAGACCTGCACCGCCCAGCTCCAACAGTTCCTCCTCCACCGAAGGCTGCTCCCCCGTTGCCGCCGGCTCGAACAGCTCGGCCGGCACCGGGAACCAACTGCCATGCCTTCCACACCATGGTGGTCCGGCAGCTCGGTATGACGAAACAGAAGAACCCAAGCTCGCGAGCTTGGCACCACGGTGGGCTGCCCGGACGTGTGCGCCTCCTGCATGCTGGGGGCAAGGGTTCGGAATCTCCTCCTTGTCCGGGGACACCGGTAGGTGTAGGGGCTGTTCAGCCATTGGCAGCCTTTGCGCATGGCAGTTTGTTGCTCATGTAGCTCCACGGTGCTGTAATCCAATGTTTGCTCCAGAGACTCTGACAGCGCCTCCAAAAACTAAAGAGTGGGGGAGAGTGGTGGTCTTTCAAAACGTTCCATCCGACACATAATAGGGGCCCTCCAACAAATAAGAAGATGAGTTCCCTGGCAGAATGTGCTGAGCATTTTTCCATCATGTTCCATCCATTTTCAGAACCTCTACAAGTGGCAGCACGCAGACAAAACTAACAGTCTTTGCAGCCATGCGGCAATCAGCAGCAAAGCGGAAGAGCTCGTGGGGGAGGCTAGCAGGATGTTTGCTGATCGCGCGGCTGTTGTGCACCATTTGCTCGCAGATTATGAACTCGACCTATGTGGGCGGAGCAGGATGCTCGCTGCGGCCACGCAGCGCCAAGCTGCGGACCACCATGAGAGTGCGTGAGAGGTTAGGGAAATTGAAGAAAGTGGCTTCAAGTCCGAAGACTAGTGATGCAAAGGCCGAGGTGAAAGCTTTGACCACCAAGATCAAGCTGGCTCGGTCGGCCGATGAGTTGATCAGAATTGTGGATGAGAATGTGGAGGGCCCCTTTTTGGACTCCATCCATGCGGGAGCCATTTATCACAGCCTTGCGATGTTTCAACGGAGAGGCTCAGTGCCGTCCTGTGGGGACAGTCCAGCTTTATCCAAGCTGCACGCACGCCTTTTGAACTTCACAGCGGAGAGGAAGATCGGACAGCGGGAGTTTGCCAATGTCCTGTGGTCCATGGCTCATTTGCCGGGTTCCATCGCTGGAACTACCAAGTTGCTCCCTGCTTTCATCTCTGCTTTTCCTCACGTGGCACAAGGCATGAATGCCTTTGATCTATCGAACTGCTTTTATGCGGCGGCTCAGCTGAAGGACGTGGATGTGACACCCAATGTGGTGAAGATGGTGCCAACGCTGGCCGCTAGGATCCCAGGCAAGGTGAGTGACATGATACCCCAAGCTCTTTCCAACTGTATGTGGGCATCGGCCCGCCTGAAGGGTTTGGCGCCCAAGGATGTCCAGGTGATCGTTCCAGCTCTGTGTGAGCAGATCCCAGGCAACGTTGAGAAGATGAACTTGCAGGACTTGTCCACAAACTTATGGGCATCAGCTCAGTTGCTGGATGTGGCTGGAGGCAGTGTGGAGAAGATGGTGCCGTCACTGGTAGACGAGATCGAAAAGAAAGGAACCCTAATGAACCCACAACAATTTTCCAACTGCTTGTGGGCACTTATGCTCCTCCAGGATTCCTTTCCCGAGCTTCAGCCATTGTTGGCAGCCCAGACTGGCAGCAAGGACACCTTCTTGAAACTAGCTGCTTCGCGAATCACTGGCATGCTGCCCAAGTTGAGTGGTAGTGACTTGCACTTGGCTGTCCCGACCGTTGTTTGGGCCTGCGGAAGATCGCAGCTCAACTTCCAGCCGCTGCTCAGTGCCGTTGCTTGCCGCTTTCCATCCACCTTGGCGGTGCTCAATGACTGGGGGCTTTGTGCTTTGGGCTGGTCTTATCGGACGCTGGACCCGACTGGGCAACACCAAGACTTTCAGACAGCGGTGGGAGCAGAGCTCGCGCGCCGAGGCCTTGCAGAAGTGGACGTGGAGCGCAGCAAGGAGGGCTACCTTGAATGGCCTGGCATCAAATAGTCCTGCCCAGAAATACGCCGGCCCTGAAATCTGGGTGAGTTTTGGTCAGTTCGCCTTGAAGGGCTGGCAGGTTTCAAGGCTACTCAGCTACTCCTCGCACCGCCGAGATGCCGAGTGCAGGAGCGTGGCCGAACCGGTCCGACCACCGGTCTTCCGAACAGAGCCCTGCGGACTGAAAAAGCGTCCACTATTGAATCTGAACTATATATATATATATATAGAGTGGTCCCCAAATAGATGGATGATGGATTTCCAGTACATGTTTAGTGGGGATCTACTTCTCTATCTATTTGCAGATCTATACTGTAATATGTTTGTTCATCACTCGGCTCTGGCATTTTTTAAGTCCGTTCTGGAGTTCTTGTCAGAGAAACACCATGGCATGGGGTGCTCTGACTGAGGCTTTGATGTATGAGGTGCTGGAGCTTGCAATGAACCGAGTCGTTTCCTCAGATTTTCCTCCTCTTTCTCCTCCTCCTCCTCCTCCTCTTCGTCTTCTCCTTCTTCTTGTTCTTCCTCCTTGTTTGCCCTGCCAGAGTTCTTGATCATTTCTTGGCTTTGCCTGCCTCCTCGCGAAGCGTTTCTTGACTCCTTTGCCCCACGCAGCCCCAGCCAGTGCAAAAAGAAGTCATTAGCTTTCCTTCAGCTTTCATCACTGACCCGAGACACATGTGTTCAGCGCTTGGTGCGACAAGGAGTGACCGTCCAAGGACACATCACATCCACTAGTGCTGGGTCTCCACTGGATCCAAGTGCAGGAGGCCCTTGTTACTGTTGGTGCGCTCGCTGTTGCATAGATTTTCAGCAGATTGAGTCCAAGTCCATACAGTGCATAAGAAATCATAAGTAGACAGAAAATAGTGCGCCGCGACACTGAGCTGAGCTTCTCCTGCATGTTTGTCCTTGGGAGTGGGGCAGATGGGCCGCTTTTTGGGGTGCCGTTGGTTGAAGTATGACAAATGACAACGCTGCCGTTGACCCCATTAAGATCTAAGCAGGTGTCGATGCGAGTGGTTGGCTGTAGGATGAATCTATCAAAGTTGCACTTCCTGCAGCCACTTTACCATCCAAAGTTCCTAGAGTCCTTGTCGATTTTTTGGTCGCCATGATCTTCTTGTTAGATCTGCTCCTCATGCTGTCACTGCCCCTGCTTGGCGCCACCGAAGCAGAGAACTCTGAAGCCTCATGCTTACTTCAAAGTCCGGGAAAGCTGTCGGCGAAGAACGACCCCAACGCCTTCTCTTTGCTGTGCGCGCGAGGCACCAATTGCATTTGCGAAGATCGAGGTCCTAATTTGGCTGCAGACCTGTCAACCTGTGCTACCCACTGTGTGAATCAACCAGGATTCACTTTTGTATCTGAGTCGGATCCCATTGAGGGGAAGAGTGAGATTTGTGCTTGCTGCACTTCACTTGCCTCAATTAGCAGAGTGTCCGAGCAAAAGCCGGACTGGGCTGGAGCGTTTAGGTATATGTAGCCAGTGGCCCAGCCACGATGTACATACCTTGATTTACAGTATTTTGATTTGCAAGCTTTCTGATTGGGATTGTGTCGTGCCAAGACCATCCACTTCATGAAAAGATGCACGGGTGTCTGGCAAACTAGAGTTGATCACTTGGTCAGAGGAAGCTGATGGAAGAAGAGGGACGGCAGCGCACTGTGTCGACCAATTTGGACGGGTTTGTTCGGCTTTTTGCGTTGCAAAGTGATATATAGAGAGAGAGGTGGCACGCTGCATTCACACTTTTCGACGTGAAGGGAGAAACGACATATCATATCATATTATATATTTGGGTTTATTTACTCTTCGACTTTCGTGCGATTTTCATTTTTCTGATATTTTCTGACGAATCTTTTGTGCCGCGTCTGTGACTCCTGTCGATATTTGTTCCACAGAAACATGGAGCCCGGTTTCGTCGTCGCGTGCGGAGGTGAGCTGCGTTTGGTTCCCGGCCTTTGGCTTTGGTCCCGGCCTTTGGCTGGGGAGCTCGGAGTGAAGGAGGGAAGCCTTGGAGACGAAGCCTTTATCATTTGTCCCCACTTCGCCCCACACCTCTCGTGCTTACTGTGGCACCATCTTTGGAGCAATTCACTTGTTTCTGATACACTAACATCACATCTCTGTTGTAGGGTTCCGTTGAGCATCCTGCACCATGTTGCCACCACCCTAGATGTCCCAAGCCAAGCCCTAAGCGAGCCTCATTCGATGTGTGAAGATAAGCCGGGATTCCCAGTCATCGTTCTGCTGGTTGCCCTCCTCTCGCGTTGAGACATATGGCCACTGTGACGAGGAGCGGGCATGATTTTGGCATATTTTGGCGCTGGCTTTTGTGGATGCCAACTGCCCTTGCCGCTTGCACATACATATATATATATATATATAATGGGTTTTGGGCACTGGATTTTCGTCGATTGTTTACATAATTGGAGGCAATATCACGAGCCTGTCATGCAACGGAAGATGGGGATTTGAATACCTGTCTATAGCCTTCATGTTCTGGGAAACGTCAGACATCACCTTTCAGATTCTTTGCGTTTCCAAACAGCGGGGTGCGTGCTGAAGCCGAGCCCCGGATGGGGCGCCGGTCGCCGGAGTCACTGGATCGTTGACGTGGTCCAATGGTGCACTTGGAAGGCCTGTTTTGCTCAAATGCTCTCCAGAGAGTTTTAAGAAGGAGAGAGTTCTCATCGTCCGCAGCTTTTTGATCGTTCACTCTGGGACCGTGTGGACAAGAAGTGCCTCAAGGCCAGCATGGCTTCCGCAGTCAGACAGCAATCCAAGCCGCGAGTTTATCAGTGTGATCGGGTGACGAATCACCTATTGCCATGTCGCACCATGTAGAAACACAACTTCCTAAGGTCAGTCCAGGCATATAAATTCGTGCATGTGACGGGCATCAAAGAAATCCGACTTGTCGCCATGTCTGGCCGTTCACGGAGGCTTGCAGGATGCTTGCTGCCGTGGTTGGCTTGCGCAGGAGTCCCTTTGAGCTTCCTGCACTGGCCGGGGCCAGTGCAACGCAACGGCCGTGAGCTGCGCACTGTTATGGGGGTGCGCGAGAAGTTGGGCAGTTTATCCCGAAAAACGATTGCTCCAAATACGGCTGATGTTGACGCCCAGGCGAAAGCCCTGACATCCAAGATCAAGGGAGCTGGGTCAGTGGACGTGCTGATCCGCCTTGTCGATGAGGAGGTGAACAGCCCTGTCTTCAATTGTATCCATGCAGGAGCGGTTTACCACAGCCTGGCACAGTTTAAGCAGAAGATGGGTTCTCTGCCTGTAGCCTGCGCTGGGAGCCCTGCTCTCCTCAAGTTGAATGGTCGCTTGAAGGGCTTCATAAAGGAAATCAAGATCGGGCCCCGGCAGTTTGCCAACGTCTTGTGGGCGGCAGCGTATTTACTTGATGCAATCCCTGGGATGACCCAGTTGTTTCCTGCCATTGTTGCTGCGTTTCCAGTTTTGGCACGCAGGATGAACGCTTTTGATGTGTCCAACTGCATGTGGGCATCAGCTCAGTTAAAGGATGAGTTGCCGGATGATGTTGTGAAGATCATCTCACCACTTGCTGCCAAGATTCCGTATGTGGCCGATGACTTGACACCCCAAGAACTGTCCAACTGCTTGTGGGCAACTGCGCAGTTGAAAGACGTGGCACTTGATGATGTGGTCAAGAGCATGCCTGCGCTAGCCGCCAAAATCCCAGGCAAAGCTGATAGTATGAAACCGCAAGAGTTGGCCAACTGCTTTTGGCAGCGGCGCAATTGAAGGAAGTGGCGCCTGATGATGTGGTCGAGATTGCGCCGGCGCTTGCTGGCAGAATCCCAGGCAAAGCTGATGGCATGAAGCCGCAAGAGTTGGCCAACTGCTTGTGGGCAGCGGCAAAATTGGAGGATATGGCGCCGCAGGCAATCTTTGAGCTCGTCCCAGCAGCTGCGTCAACATTCACCGAATTGCTTCCCAAGTTGAGAGGAAGCGACCTGCGTTTGGCTGTGCCCACAGTCGTTTGGGCTTGCGGAAGGTCAGACCTGCCCTTCCAACCCCTGTTGAAGGCTGTGGCTAGACGCTTTGGATCGACAACTGTCGACAACCACGCTTTCATCTCTCAATGACTGGGGCCTTTGCGCTTTGACCTGGTCCTACCGGACGCTGGACCCGACCATGCAATTTCGAGACTTTCAGAAGGCCCTGAGAGCGGAAGTTGCGAAGAGGGGGCTGTCCGGATCGGATGTGGAGCGTAGCAAGGAGGGTTACCTTGAATGGCCTGGACAGGCCCAAAAGCAGGCTGGCTAAACACTGGGAGCAGGCCTGGCAATGGTGGCTTTTTGCGCAATCCCATAAGCCTATGAGGCGGCCTTTGGCGCTTGTCCAGGTCCTCTAGCCTTGGAGAGCCTCGGGGTTCTGGCATGTTTCAAGGACCCTCCTCGCACCATCTTGTGCAGAGTGCTGGGTCTTCAAAGTGCACCACCTGGATCCGAGTGCAGGAGCCCTTGTTGCTGCCGGTGCCCTAAAACGAGGGCGAGCGCATCGTTTTAGAGAAGACCTAACAATAGATCAGAGACGTATGGAGGGAACTGAGCACCTCTTACATATACTGGTAGCACATCTTTGGGAAGGGGCACGCGGGCCGCTCACGCTCGATCCATTGAGATCCTCACGATGGTGGGTGGAGGGGGTGTATTTTTATGTATTTTTTCTTCATGCTTTGTTTCTGAGGCTTGGGTCCTTCAGGGCGAGACGGCGAAAAAGGTGGGGAACTCAACATGAAACCGTGAAGCACACAGCCTCCTGCTCTGTTTCGGGTGTTGATGATTCTTCTTGTTGAGTTGTGGCTCCTAGCTGGCCTCATAGCAATTGCAAATAGATGGGGTGCCACGTGGCATGTTTCCTCAAAATCTTAATTATGCATCAGCAATTTCGTCAGAAGCATACGCCCCGGCGCTACCAAGAAAGATTTCCTCCTAGTCCTAGCTCGCGCTGCACATATATTTATAGCCGCTTACTTCGAGCCATGCCCAATTCCATTGAATTGCCAAGAGGAATAGTCACAGCCCACTGCACGGCAAGAGCTGCAAGATGCCTGTTGATGTCCTGCTTGACATGGGCACTGTCTTCCAAGATGCTGCTTCTAGACAGCTTTTGTGGATCGCACGAGGTGCAGGCCAGGCGTGCTGAGCTCCGGACCACCATGAAGGTGCGTGAGAGGCTGGGCAGTTTGTCCAGGCCCAAATCGAAGAATCAGAAGCCAGATGATTTGAAGGACGAGGTCAGACAGTTGAACTCCAGACTCAAGCAAGCTGGCTCCGAGGCAGAGTTGATCGGCATTTTGGAGGAGAAGGTGGATGCCCCGTTCTTTGACCCCATCCACGCATCAACGGCCTTTCATAAGCTAGCAACATTCAAGCAGACCGAAGGTTCGCTGCCAATTTGTGCGGTGAACCCGGCATTTCTGAGGCTGAATGCTCGTATGAAGGACTTTCTCAAACAAAATCAAGTCAAGTCATGGGCATCTGCAAATTTGCTTTGGGCCATTGCAATTCTTGGAAATGAGCTTTCAATTGTGGTATCGCTTCTTCCGAACTTGGTCAAGTCTTTTGGAGCAAGGGCTAGCGGCATGACTGAGCAGGAGTTGTCGAACTGCTTGTTGTCAGCGGCGCGGTTGAAATTAAAGGGTGTAGCACCAGAGGAAGCAATGAACATTGCTGCTGTGCTTGCTGACAGAATCCCAGGCAAAGCTGATGGCATGAACGCCCAAGAGTTGTCCAATTGCTTGTGGGCATGCGCAAACTTAATAGATGTGGCGCCTGATGCTGTAGCAATAATCGTGCCGGCAGTTTGTGACCAAATCCCAGGCAAGGTTAGTGACATGATTCCTCAACACGTGTCCAACTGCTTGTGGGCAGCAGGACAGTTGAAAGATGTGGCGCGTGATGATGCGGTCAAGATCGTGCCAGTTCTTCTTGCGGAGTTGCCGAGCAAAGCCAAGGCCATGGGTCCGCAGAATTTTGCCAACAGCTTGCAGGGGCTGGTCTTCCTTGAGGATTTTGCGCCTGAAGTAGGTTCACGCCTGACAGCCCCTGCTGGCAGCAAGGAGCGTTTCTTGAGGTTGGCTGCCTCACACATCACTGAAATGCTGCCCAGGTTGAAGGGTAGTGACTTGTACTTGGCCGTGCCGGTAGTAGTCTGGGCTTGTGCCAAGTCCGGATTGTCCTCTCAAACGCTGCTGACTGCAGTGGCCCAGCGCTTTGGATCCAATGGGCAGTCATCACGGCTCCCTGATTGGGATTTGTGTGCCTTGACCTGGTCCTACCAGACGCTGGATCAGACAGGGCGCTTCGGAGGCTTTCAGCAGGCGCTGAGGGCGGAAGTTGTGCGAAGAGGGCTGTCGGACTCGGACGTGGAGCGCAGCAAGGACGGTCAGTATGCCGAATTTGCAGGTGACAAGTAGAGCAGTGCGTTTGCACAGGCCGAGCCACCTTGGCGCGACAGTTTTACATAGCCAGTGCTACTTGGTGCCCGAGTGTCCGGCTATGTTTGCTCGGCGACGTTCCTGGCACCATCTGGTGCAGAGTGCTGGGTCCACACAGTGCACCGCCCAGGTTCGAGTGCAGGAGCCGTTGCGCATTGCTGCCGGCACTTCTATTTTGGAAGTAGAAATTGAAAGACGTTGAGTGACGAATCTATGTCTTGGCAACTAAAAGGATCGAACAATTGAGCCAATGCGCGCGGCTCATTTGTGCCGGCTGGAACATGAGTTTTTCGCAGGCTTTCATGTGCTTTCTGGAGATGATGAACATATTTTTGGGCCAAGCAATCAATCGGTCGCAGCTTGTGATGATGTGTGTTCACACTGAGGTGAACGAACACCAGTGCTGCTGCTAGCTGGATAGCTGGGCTGGAAACTCAGCCGGATAGGTGGGAGGGACAGATGAAAGGCTGGCTGGGTGGCTGCTCTACACTTTATTCTCGAGTCCATTTCTGTTGCACTCTTTGGGTACTAGCTTGTATACATCTAGCTGCCCCACACTTTCAGGGTGTGTACACTCACGACTCAGACATCCTTTCGTAGCAGGACAGGTAGATGAGCACCCATGCCGCCCATGCCGGCCTCCGCCAATGAACTTGACGCCCATTCAGTATAGGAGGGGATTGCCTAGTGCTTGTGAGTGCTCAGACAGGCTGACCTTCCACACTCCATTCATGGCCTGTGCAGTCATCCGACAGCACTGCTTCAGTGAATCAAATGAGCAACAAGCGACAGGCGATAGCACAGAAAGCCCAGAACAGTTCTGACCCATGACAACAAGCGCGCTTTTGACACCATCCAGACATTAAAAAGGGAACACTCACCTTCCTTCGTGTTTGCAGCCATGACCAATTCATGTGGGAGCTCAAGAAGACCTAGACCCAGCAGGTCTCTGGCCAGGCTTGCAGCATGCCTGCTGATGGTGTGGTTGGCATGGCCTTGCGAAAGAGTCCATCTCGCCTTCATCGAGGGCCTAGGCCTAGGCCAAGTCGAGTCACGCAACGGTCGTGGCTGGCAGACAGCGACGAAGGTCCGTGAGCGCTTGGGCAGTTTGTCTCGGAAGACCAGCAATTCGAAGACAGGTGATTCAAAGGGCCAGGTCAAAGCTTTAACCACCAGAATCAAGGAAGCTCGCTCGGCCATTGAGTTGATGGGCATTCTGGATGAGACCGTGGATGCCCCATATTTTGATTACATTCATGCAGCAGCAGTGTACCACACCTTGGCTACATTTCGGAGGATGAAGGGCTCGCTGCCATCAGGTTGTGCAGAAAGTACTGCTTTGCTTAAGCTGAACGCTCTGCTTCAGGACTTCATCAAGCGAAGCAAGGTCGGGCCACGAGAGCTTGGCAACGTCTTCTGGGCCGTGGCCGTTTTGTTTGATGCAGTCCCAGTGGTGACACAGCTCAGTCCAGACATAGCCAGAGGACTTTCCTTACAGACCCACAGCATGGATCCCCAAGCGTTATCTAACTGTCTTTGGGCAGCTGCGCACTTGAAGGATGCTGTGCCTGATGACGTATTGAATATCATACCAGCCCTCGCAATACAAATCCCAGAAAAGGTGGATGATATGATCCCCCAAGCTTTGTCCAACTGCCTGTGGGCATCGGCTCAGTTGAAGGATGTGGCACCTGATGATGTAATGAGGATCGTGCCAGCACTTGCTGTTCAAATCCCGGGCAAAGTGGATGACATGATTCCCCAGCACTTGTCCAACTGCTTGTGGGCATCAGCTCACTTGAAGGAAGTGGTACCTGATGTAGTGAAGATCCTCCCAGCACTCAGTGCCAAGCTGCCAGGCAAAGCTGATGCTATGAATCCACATGAACTTGCCAACAGCGTGCACGGACTTGTGGTCCTTCAGGATTCTGTTCCGGAGGCGCGGGAATTGCTTCAAACAACCTCTCAGACCAATTTCTTGAAAGCAGCTGCCTCAAAAGTCAGTGACTTGCTTCCAAATTTGAGTGGAAACGACCTGCATTTGGCAGTGCCTCTGACCGTTTGGGCTTGCGGAAGGACCGGGCTAGACTTCCAGCCACTTCTGACTGCGGTGGCCCGACGCTTTGGAAAAACAACGCTTTCAACTCTCAGTGACTGGGGCCTTTGCGCCTTGACCTGGTCCTACCAGAAGCTGGACCTGACTATGCAATTTCGAGACTTTCAGAAGGCCCTGAGAGCGGAAGTTGCGAAGAGGGGGCTGTCCGAATCGGATGTGGAGGGTAGTCAGACAAGCTACCTTGAGAAGACTGGACAGACCGAAAAGCAGACAGGCTGAAGCTAGGGAGCAGGCCTGGCCATGTTGGCAATCTGCACAATCCTATGAGCCTATGAGGCTGCCTGTGGCGCTTGTCCAGGTTTTAGAGGCTTGTTGAGCCGCGGGTTTCTGGCATGTTTCAAGGACCATCCTTGCACCATCTTGTGCAGAGTGCTGGGTCTTCAAAGTGCACCACCTGGATCCGAGTGCAGGAGCCCTTGTTGCTGCTGCTGCTGCCCGCTTGAGGCGATAGATCAGAGAAAATGGATGAACATAGCATCGAGGGAACTGAGCGGCTGTTACATTACACTACACATAGCATTGTATAGTACATCTTTGGGAAGGGGGCACGCGGGTCGCCCACGGTCCATCCATTGAGACCCTCAGTATGGTGACCGGGGAGTGCTTTTTGTTTCATGCTTTGTCTATCTTTGTCTCTGAAGCATGGGTCCATCGCCAGGGTGAGGCGGTGCAAAAGGCGGGGAGCCCGACATGGAACCGTGAAGCGCACAGGAAGCGTTGTTTGCTCACTCCCTCCTGCTATGTTGATGATTATTCTTTTGTATTTGTGGCTCCTAGCTGGCCCCATAGCAATTGCAAATAGATGGGTGCCGCGTGGCATGTTTCCTCAATCTTAATCTTGCGTCAGCACTTTTCATCAGAACTGTCCAGAACCAGACGCTCAGGCCTAGCAAGACCAGAAAGTGCAAAGGAAGACCTCAGCTCGCTATACAGCTACCACGTTCCAGTCATGCCCAATTCCGTTGCGCTGCCAAGAGGAATAGTCACCGCCTGCAGGGCAAGAGCTGCAAGATGCCTGTTGATGTCCTGCTTGACATGGGCACTGTCTTCCAATACGCTGCTTCTAGACAGCTTTTGTGGATCGCACGAGGTGCAGGCCAGGCGTGCTGAGCTCCGGACCACCATGAAGGTGCGTGAGAGGCTGGGCAGTTTGTCCAGGCCCAAATCGAAGAATCAGAAGCCAGATGATTTGAAGGACGAGGTCAGACAGTTGAACTCCAGACTCAAGCAAGCTGGCTCCGAGGCAGAGTTGATCGGCATTTTGGAGGAGAAGGTGGATGCCCCGTTCTTTGACCCCATCCACGCATCAACGGCCTTTCATAAGCTAGCAACATTCAAGCAGACCGAAGGTTCGCTGCCAATTTGTGCGGTGAACCCGGCATTTCTGAGGCTGAACGCTCGTATGAAGGACTTTCTCAAACAAAATCAAGTCAAGTCATGGGCATCTGCAAATTTGCTTTGGGCCATTGCAATTCTTGGAAATGAGCTTTCAATTGTGGTATCGCTTCTTCCGAACTTGGTCAAGTCTTTTGGAGCAAGGGCTAGCGGCATGACTGAGCAGGAGTTGTCGAACTGCTTGTTGTCAGCGGCGCGGTTGAAATTAAAGGGTGTAGCACCAGAGGAAGGAATGAACATTGCAGCTGTGCTTGCTGACAGAATCCCAGGCAAAGCTGATGGCATGAACCCCCAAGAGTTGTCCAATTGTTTGTGGGCGTCTGCATACTTGATAGATGTGGCGCCTCATGCTGTAGCAAAAATCGCGCCGTCAATTTGTGACCAAATCCCAGGCAAGGTTAGTGACATGATTCCTCAACACTTGTCCAACTGCTTGTGGGCAGCAGTGCAGTTGAAGGATGTGGCGCGTGATGATGCGGTCAAGATCGTGCCAGCTTTGGCTTCTAGAATCCCAGGCAAAGCTGCTGGCATGAACCCCCAGGAGTTCTCCAACTGCTTGTGGGCAGCGGCTCGTCTGAAAGATGTGGCTCCAGACGATGTGAGAAAGATTGTTTCAGCACTGGCTGGCCAGATTGGAGTCGATGATGTTGTGAATGGACAAGATTTGTCCAACAACTTATGGGCTTCAGCCCAGTTGCAGAATCTGGCACCTGATGACGTCTTAAAGTTAGTGCAGGCAAGCGTGGCCCACATTGCAAGCATTGCAGATAGCATGAATCCTCAGCACCTGTCCAGCAGCTTGTTTGCAGCAGGCCAGCTGAAAGATCTGGCACAAGATGATGCCGCACGGATCCTAACTTCGGTAGCTGTCCAGCTTCCAGGCAAGGCGGGTGTTATGAGCCCACAGGAAATCGCCAACAGCTTGCAAGGACTTGTTCTTCTTCAGGATGTGCCTAAGCAAGAGTACTCGAAAGAAGTTTCTGCTAGCAGAGACGCTTTCGTGCAACTGGCAGCCCACTGCATCAGTGACATGACCCCGACACTTCGTGGAAAGGACCTAGCTTTAACAGTGCCGGCTTGCAGCAGGTTCGGCCTGCCCTCGCAGCCGCTGCTGAGAGCCGTGGCCCGGCGCTTTGGATCAAGTGCAGAGCTTTCCTCATCGCAGCTCCCAGATTGGGACCTTTGTGCCTTGACCTGGTCCTACCAGATGTTGGATGCAACTGGGCAGTTCATAGACTTTCAGAAGGCCTTGCGAGTGGAAATTGAACGGAGAGGGCTGTCGGAATCAGATGTGGAGCGCAGCAAGGATGGGCACTATGAGGGGTTTGCAGGTGACAAATGAGCGGCTTCTTTTGTGAGAGCAGTGTTGCCTTGCTGCAGTTTTTGAAGAGTTGGTCTTTGATTGCAAAGGCAGGCTTGTTCAGAAGTCCTGGCACCATCTGGTGCAGAGTGCTGGGTCCACAAAGTGCACCGCCCAGGGCCGAGTGCAGGAGCTCTTGCGTTTTGCGGCCGGAGCAGTCTCGGAGAGGTGTGTACAGACCACACAAGAAAATCGAAAAAGACTTGAGCCTACAACAAGGAGCGCATTTTTGCCGACTTGAGCAGACGTCGATGGCCTCGAGCCCATTAGTGCCCAGCCTGGCTGTGATTTCTTAGTGTCCATTAGTGTCCATGTTGTGCGCTGTGACAAGCATCGGTCACGGGGTCTGAAGGCATCGGTCCCCGATAGTCGTGAATGTCTGGTTCACTTTGAGGTGACTGGAATCGGTGCTCGGGAGGCTGGGACGCGATTCAGTTGAAAGAGTTTCTATAGCTCAGAAAGGTCTGCTTTGCAGGCTTCGCGGCCTTGCGACACGCACACCCACACAGCGCAGACATGCTGTTTTTTTAATCGTTTTTGTTTTTGTATGGTTGTCGCCAGTGCATTTTGTTGTTCTCCATTCTCACTCCCAAAAGTGCCGGGAAGTTGGGAAACCGGTGTTTTTGCTGAGCCTGCACCGGTGGAGTGCGAGCATCAGTCCCTCAACCAGAAGCTCGAAACGGGGGGATGGTGCCTAAGTGAGTGGATCATGGGCCTCCACCACCGGTGCCTCCACCGCCGGTGCCTCCAGGTCCAGATCTCGGCACAGATGGGGTCCAGGCGCCTCACTGCAGAGCCCAGGGCGAGATGCGGAGCGAGTTCGAGACGTGTTTCCAACGCTTCACGTGTTTCATGTGGGCGGGTGACCCCTTAGACACAGCATGACATATCCAGGAGTATTTGTTAGTATATGTATAAAGTATACTGTAATTAGGGACCACTTTGCAGTTCAAGAGATTGAGTTGGTTTATATTTCATGTTGTTTGTGCTAACTCAGCATGATGGAGTTATATAAAACCGTGAATGTAGATTTTCAAGAGCAGTGAAGTTGTTGCACATCCCATTCAATCATTCAACTCATCATCAAAATGACAGGCAGCATGAGGTTGATGCCCCAGCTCAAATTTGATACCCCCTGAAGCATCCTGAACCAACATCAATCAGCTTTCACTTGGTCAAGGCGGCTTTTATCTTCTGTCGAACCATGCGGTTTTGATGGACCAAATTCTGCATAGAACTCCTTCAGGAGCGTGCCAAGTGCCGACAGTGGTGCGAATTGGATGTCAACCCTGTCCCTCCTCCTAACCACTCTAACCACAACCAGGGAACTTGCAATTTTATGGTCTTACCCGTCAGGTGGTGCCATGAGTTTCTTCACTGACTTTGGCACGCTACTGCGACCACAGCGCCGCTGGTCGCTGCTTCGCGCTCGCTGGGCCGGCCCGGCACCAAGTTGTAGGAGAGAATGCCCCAAAGATGTGATCTTTGGTTGGCAGGGAGCTGCATCCAGGTGACCAATGACCAACACTTTGCTAGCCGATCCGCTGATGCAACTGCAAAGTGCATGTTTGATCGTACAGACGGTATTCATCGGACAAGTTCGGGCCGCCCAGTCTCAAGCTGCTTGCAATGTGTTCTGATCACTCAACAGTGTTAAGATTCACGCAGTAGTGTAGCGGCACCTGGCAGAAAGCCGGAAGAGATGGCAGTGGGTCAACTCCTGGAGCTCCAAACCCCGGTAGGTCGGTTCACCTCCCTGATGATCTATTCTGTTCATGTTCACTGGTCAACCAGGATATGCCATGCAGCCCCCCCACTAATCGCCACTCCATACCACTTGGAGCTGCATCCATCTGCCATGTCGCGCTTGGTTGGACTGGGAGGGAAAGGTGGCAAGCTGACATGGCACTGGAGTCGCTACTTCAGAAAGCTTGTGGGATGCTTGCTGATATTCTTCCTCATGTTGGCTGCTGTTGCTAATTGTGCTGCAGCCACACCTCCCAACTTCATTCTGGCAGGGCGACCAGCCTTCGCACGCAGGCATGTGCTTCGGACACCTTTGCAGGTGCGCGAGAGGTTGGGCAGCATGTCCAGATCCAATCAACCAGATGACTCCAAAGGCGAGGTCAGACGTTTGAACTCCAGAATCAAGGGCGCTACCTCAGAAAATGAGTTGATTGGCATTCTGGATGGGAAGGTGGATGCGACGTTCTTGGATCCAATCCATGCATCGACAGCCTACCACAAACTGGAAGGCTTTGCGCAGGTCAAAGGTTCACTGCAGCCAGGTTGTGCCAACAGCCCCGCACTTGAGAGACTGCAAGCACGGACAAAGGACTTCATCAAGCAGAAGCAAATGCAGTCATGGGCTTTTGCAAATTTGTTTTGGGCAATGCCAATCCTGCTTGACGCACTCCCCACAGTGACAGAGTTAATCCCAGACATGGTGAAGCTATTTCCTGCAAGAGCGCGCAGCATGAATGGACAAGATTTGTCCAACAGTTTGCTACTGTAGCTGCAGCGAAGCTGAAAGACGTAGCGCCAGATGATGTCAGGAAGATTGTGGGGGCTCTTGCAACTCAGGTTCCAGGGAAGGCCGGTGACATGAACCCTCAAGAATTGTCCAACTCCTTGTGGGCATCAGCGCATTTGAGGGATCTGGCACTCAAAGATGTGAAAGCAATTGTTCCTATGCTTGCGGCCCAGATGCGTGGCAAGGTGGGCGGCATGAACCCCCAAGAGTTGTCCAACTCATTTTGGGCCTCGGCGAGGTTGAAGGATGTAGTGCCTGATGTGGCGCAAATTGTTCCTGCGCTTTCTGTGCAGATTCCAGGCAACGCTGGCGCAATGAACACTCAAGAGTTGTCCAACTGCTTCTGGGCAGCAGGGAAATTGAAGGATGTTGCACTCGATAGTGTCCGACAGATCTTGCCAGCTCTCGTGGCCCGACTTCCAAATGCAGTTCCTGATATGATTCCTCAACACTTTGCCCAGTGCTTTTCGGCCGTGGAACTGTTGAAGGATCTGGAGCCAGACGTGCTGAAGCTTTTGCCGGCGCTGCGGGCGGAAGTCGCTAAGAGGGGGCTTTCGGAGGCGAAGCTCTCAGGGTCTGGAACTGTCAAGTAGAAGCCAACGGGGCCCAGCTTGCATAGCTCCAGCATAGGGTGCGGAGCTACAGGATTTTGCCTGATGTGGGCTGAATGAAGTGGAACCTGGCGAAGCCTCCAGGATACCAGGTTTTTCTTTGTGTGATATTTGCCTGATCCTTTTTGAATGGCAGTGGCGGTTCAAACTGAGAGGATGGCTTTGCCGCTTCGGTCTGGAGCTCTGTGCTATTGAGCGCTACCCCTGCACCGGACGGATCCGAGTGCACGCCGGATCGGGCGGAGCCAAAGGAGAAAAAGGGAGGAAGCTTTGTGGGGTGGTGATTGCTGCAGGTGAATGGCATGGTCATGGTAGGTGAGAGATACTAGACAGCCGATCCATGCGAATACTTACTGTGCCCTGTGTCAGTAGGTGACAGAAACACAGCGGGATCCTTTTCTTCCAAGCACATTTTTGGATTCGCATCATGGGACATTCCCTTGCACGGTAGCAGTGCATCAGCCAAGGTGAGGCACCTGTTCGTGTCCTTTCAGAAGGCAAGGGATGCACAATTGTTTTCCTGAGAAAGTTTTGGACAGGTGATGTGAGTGCAACATGCTGTGCAACTTCAGGAAGAGAGATGCAGCATTCTTTACATGACTCTGGCGACACTAGACCGGAAGCTGTGCAAGAGCTTGCCACGCTTTGTTGGCGTTGCTTGACCTCATGACAGCTCCGCCACGTCCAAGCACAACATGCACCTCCTCCGGCCTCCGCAACCAGTTTCCCAGCGCACCAAGCTCCCCCGCCGCGGCTCCGGTTTCCTGCTCTCCGATGGCTCCTCCTCCCGCGCCGGCGCCGTGCCCCGTCGTCGCCCCGCCGGGGACGGCCCACTCCGACGCGGACGGCGTCGCGAGCTCCGCGGCGTCGGAGACGAGCTCCGGGTGGCGAATGGTGGACGGGTGCCAGGCTTCCCTGAGCCCGAGCTGGTGCGAGGAGGCGGCGGGTGCAGACGGAGGGGAGGGCTCTCAGGACTTGGAGCCTCTCCTTCCCGTGGGCCGGGCTGCGGTGGAAGCATCGGACGTGCCAAGCAGTGCTGCTGTGGCCTCGGTCTCCGATAGTTCAACGGCGGTGTTTGTGGAAGACCCGGAGATTCCGAGGCTACTTGAGAGGATCGAAAGGCTTGTGGCGGATGGGTTTCAAGAGACGCGAGTGTTTGAAGCACAGCCTCACTTCATCAAGGATGTGGTGAAGGTTCCCTTTCAGCTCATCCTCACACACAGCTGCGTGGTTTTGGGTCCCGCTGGTGCTGGCAAGACCACCTTGGTGAAGGCTTTGGGTGGTGAGAAGTTTAAACCCAGTGTTCCAGCTGGCCCCCACCTGAAGAACAGAACGGTGCAGGCGCAAGCTTGTGATCTCCAACTGGAGGGGCTTACGGATGATCTGAATTTTGTGCTCATCGACACGCCAGGATGGAACCATGACACCAGCACCAACATCAAATCGCAATACAAGTCGATCTTGAAAGAAAAGACCTTAGTCTCAGAGCACACGCCTCACATCATAGTTTTCTGCGTCCCAGTTTCAGCAATCCGCCAATTTCAGATGAAGGAGGCCAAGAAGATGAGTGAGGAATTGCAGGAGCTGAAGTTTGACAAGCGCTTTCCCATCAAAGTTCTTCCGGTTGCCACCATGGCAGATACACAGCAGCCAGAGGAGTTGCCAGAGCTCTTGTCCACAATCAAAGACCTCGCCAAGAAGGCCTTCCAAGAGACAGGGGCAGAAGTGGAAGAGCCACTCTCCACACGGTTCCCGCCAGGAGGCGATCCCCAAGGAGTGGAGGAGTTGAGTGCGCGGCTGCGGCAAGTGTTGCACAGCCAGCTGCGTTCTGAGGAATTTTGCCACCTTTGGCAAAAGGCCTTCGCCAAGGGCATAGTAAGCAGTGTCAGGGAGCACTGCGAGAAGTTCCCCGAGAATGACTCCACCTTGCGGTTGTTCAAGAAGGCCTGTTGCACAGTGGCCGCCGCTTGTGGGAAGCAGGTTTCGGGCTTGGGCGGCCTCAACGGGAGCACCGCCACGGACCAGTTGCCTTGGTCAGCTCTCCAAGACCTTCCGACCTTCGATCGCCAGACCTGGCAGCCTCCGCCGCTCGGAGAAGGACGTTCGATCGTGAGGATGTGGGGCTGGGCGTCCGCTGCGGTGATTTGGACGTTGTCTGTGGCCCTGATCCGAATGCGGAGGGACATGGGCCAGATGGCCGAACGCCTCAAGACTCTCGAAGCCACACACCAGCAGGCGCAACAGATCGCGGACCAGATGACCCAGAAGTACAACGAGGTGCAGAAACAGTTGGTCCAGTCAAGCGAGGACTTGAATCACATGACGTTGAAGTACCAGTGGCTTCCTTGGATGGGGTGGTGTGCACTGATCGTGTTGGCGCTTCTCGTGATGGGTTTTGTGGTAGCTTTGGTGGCGGTGGTGCCTCAAAAAGCTTCACATCGCAACGGCAAGGGCAAGGGAAGGAATCGCATGTCATCCAAACATTTGTGTAACTAGTTCGCTTTGATGCACCCTGCACAGGCCAGGGTACCAATTTTTGGTTTCCTCAAAGACGCCCAGGAAACCAATGAGCAGTTCTGTGAGTCAGTTCAGCTGCATCTTGGACAGGCTGAAGAACTGGCGTGCGTCATCACAAATGAGACAAAACTGATTGAAATCCATGTGCGCGAGGGGGACGCCGTACATTTACTGTATGTGTGCATATTATAGGCATCGCATCATTTCCGACAATTCTATTATATATTTATTTCTCCTGCAGCCTGAGTGCAATAGAGTCAGCCCTGCTGTGCGCAACCCGCACAAAGTCAAGCTGAGCCGGTAGGTCGCGAACTGTGAACTTACAAGTGAGTTTGGGCGCTGCCGCCTGCTGGGTTCAACAACAGCCGCTTGCAAGCAAAGGTTTTTTTTGGTGGGATGGATCTCTATAGTTTTTCTTTTATCTCAAAGATCGGGCGAGATTCATGTGTGGAAATGCTCTAGTTGCCAGACCTACGGTCCTGCTTGTGACGTAGATCTCTCAGTTGGGAGACTGCGGTGGAGGCCAGCAGCAGTGCGCAGAGCTTCGGCGAAGGCAGCTGAGTGTGTAGGGTCCGCCTAACCCTGTTAAAAGAGCTCCTGGTGACCTTAGTAGGATCAAAGCACCGAAATTACCAGAAAGGTACCCAGAGGCTAGCCTCTCTAAGTCTGGTCGCGGCATCTCGAAGCATGAGTCGCAACAACTCGCGGCGGCGCCAGTGGAAGATGAGGACGTCCCGAGTCCCTGAGTCCCTGGCGCCTCGTCGCCACCACCACACCGATCTGGTGCGAGGCGTTGCTAGGGGGCTGCCTGGACGGTGAGATGGAGGTCGATGCCAGGGACCGCGCCTCCCGTTTTCGGCGCGGAGGTACGCTGGATGTGGGCATCATGAAGGGTGGGAATTAGGTGATAGAGGTGAAAGGGGCGCAGAACAGAACAGAACAGGTGTTGTTGTTGTTTTTTCTGTCTAGAGTCTGCTCCCTCATGGCCTTAGCGTTTGAGTTCCTTTGTGCGGAGCCAAGGTGAGATTCGATCATCTCCTTTGCATTCCTTTTGCACCATCTAGTGCAGAGGGGATGCACCAGAGCCAGAGGGATTTGAGTCCAAGGGGGTTGCTGTCATTGCCGTCGTTCCATTGGGATGCCGATGCCCAAGCTAGCCACTTTGGGGGTAGTTTGACAGGAACATCTCCAGTGGTTTGAGACGGATGTTGCATGATGTTGCTGATTTAAAGACATCAACAAAGGCGAACAAGAGCGTAGTGTTCTTGTTATGCATAAGTTGGACATGCCTTTTGGCAACCAATAGAAACGTACTGAGCCTCCTGCCAAGATCACGAACCGTCAACAACCTAGACACCCAGGTGCACCCAAGTGCAGACGGTTCACACAATTGACCTTGAGGTAGACAGCCGGGAGCTTGGATAAGATGTGGCTCCCATACGGAGGTGTAAGCAAGAGACCCTGACAAGTGCTTGGTCTTGTATCATGGAACGTCTATCTAGCTGCGGTTTGAGGACCGGCTGGGCCAATCGCTTGCTATTGGAGCCCTTACGCCTTACGTTTCCCCCCCATCCTGACAACTTGAGAGCAGATAGCCACCCCCCCGTCTCCAGCCGGAGAACATCAAAGGTGCCCTTCCTTGGGTCGGGCCGCCAGCCAGCGGCTGGGAAAGGGATGAGAAGGGGTACTGAACTCAGGTCACCTCCAGTCCGGTTCAGGCTGGGTCATGGTGGAGGCTGGGTGGGATGGTGGGGTTAGCTCCGTTTTCCGTTTTCCGTTGGGATGGCGGGATGGTGGGGATGTGGGATGGCAGGACGTGTGGAGTATGACTTCTTGATTGTTGAAGTCGTAGCTCCAACTGGGACGACATAAGAATTCCTTGCAGAATCCAACTGTAGGATATTGTGGGAAGTCATAGCTCTTCCAGAAACGCAGCTAATGCTGGCTTTTGTAACGCATGTATTATATTATCACGTATTCGTGTTTGCGTGCTGAGAGTTTGTTGGGAAAGCAGCTTGCACCTGGGGCCCGCAGAAGCACGAGGACTGAACATCGCAGCCCTTTTAAAGAGCTTCTGTCACATGAAAGGTTGAGAGTGTTAGTGACATGGCGCAAGCCGTTCGCATTTGCTTGGCGCTACTGCCCTTCGCAAGTGCTTCTTGCATTCTCGGATCAAGAGATGAGTGTGGTGGAAATGGAGTTTGCGTCTCTGACAGCTTTTTCGACAACGACCCCTTTTTCAACCAATGTGAGTGTGACTTCTGTTGGAGTGGCGCGGGAAGTTGCGATCAGAACATTTGCATCTTCCTCATGATCCCCGTGGTCTTTGTTGTTTGCATTTGCTGTGCCTTCTGCATCTGCTGTTGTTGCATCGGCGGCACCATGCGGACCATGTGGAAGACCCAACCACAGGCCGTGCCGCCGGTGGTGGTTGGACCCGCCGCATATGTGGATCCGACTCCGCCGTCCATGGTGGTGGTGGAAGCGAAGGTGGTCGAGCCAGCAGCCCCTGTCGTGGTAGGAGCCACTGCGGTGAACGAAACCAATGCCGCCTAGAGACACGGAGGGCGTGTGGGGCCAAGCCAATGCCGCCTAGAGACACGGAGGGTGTGGGGGGGGGCCAAGGTGGTTTGCCCATGTTTGCCCTAGAGACACGGAGGGTGGATAGCCTTTGAGGCCGTTGTATAGTCAGCATAGTGGCCTCCAATACATAAAAGAGAAAGGAAGAGTGGATAGCCTTTGAACATGCCTCGGAAAATCATGAAGCTTTTTGTTTGGTCATGGGGACCTCTATGCAGTAGAGAGCGTTGAAGAAGCTCGTGAAGAAACCGCGGCCTCGTTGAAGAAGCTCGTTTCATGTGTGCTGAACAGCTGCACCCATTGGCTGAAGACCGGCCCGCCGTGCAGTGCTTCTGATCACGCCTGTCAAAGGACAAAGGGAGAGCGGCCTTTGGTTAAAGGGAAGGTGAAGACACAGGTGGCGGTGGCTATCAGACCTGACCATTCTCACCCGATACGATACAAGCCTGACAACAGACACTGGCAAAGCAGAGCTGCTTTTCTTATTTGTTCTTTTTGTTTGCTGCAGGGCCCAGTGGCTGCTGAACACCACATCGCAAACATGCCACTCTACAACCGCCTAAGATGGCTTTGTCATTGGTCAGGAAGCCCCGTAAACCAATGAATAGGTTTTGGTCTATTTTCGTTCTTCAAGTGGATCTACGGGGGGCCTCGCTATTCCAATGCACACCCATAATATATATTAGTATATATGTGTATATGATATATACATATCTTTATTAGTGACCTTGACACGAGATTAAACCAAGGAAAGATCAATGAACATCAGCGAATAGGCCGTCCTAACGCACCCCCTTTCCATGAAAAGGCAGGGTGTTCAGGCCGCCATGCAAGTGAGCTTCATGACGCAGAGTCTCGTTACCGTCCGTGGTGTTTGCGAAGGTCCATGGTGCGCGGAGAACTCCTGGGCCCTCCGAACTCCGACACGTGGGGACTCAGAAACGGAGACTGGAGGCCTTGCAAAGCTCCAAGTCTTCAGGGCACGCACCAAGGATGGGACCTAAGCATAGAGCTCTGTGGTTTTCTTGTGGCCTTAGGCTCCATGGGCCTGTAGCTGGTCTGGACATGACATGTGCGGGTGACCTTGCAGATTTACTTTGGCAAGGTCGAGCAGCTCAGCCTTGACTCACCGTTTTTGGGGGCCCAAATCCCCGACCTGTCAGGAAGAAGGTGTTCTGAGCTCTTCAATCCGAGAATCGGTGAAAAGAATAGAATAAATCTGCAAGGACCTTTTCAAGCAGCTCCAACCAGATAAATTCTCTTTCATAAGTGGGACGGCTGCGAGGAAGGAGCGCCTGGTGGCTCAACCATGGATGACCTTTGACAAGATCTGTTCTAGAAACTCAGGACAGCTATAGCTGCGTTTGAACAACCATGAACAACCATTTGCATCCATTTGCTTCTGGTTGGGGCTCAATTTCCAGGCCCCTGGCGCCCCTGGCGTCTCCTGGGGCTTGTGCAGGCTTGCACCGTGTGGAGGTCGGGCGCTCTTGGGGCGGCGGAGTGGAGCGCTGATGTGAGTGGAGTGGGGCGTAGGGGGTTGTGGTGGGTCACTTTATGGTGTATAATTTGTTTTTGGCTGGTTTTGGTTGCTGGACAAATGGAATGTGAACAGGCATGGCCACTGTGCGGCAGTTTGTGTTTTTTTCCTGTATAGCCGGTCACACTGCCATTCATTCAGCAGTACAGTCTACCAACATGAGCGAGTCTGAGTGTGACAAGCAGGCCAATGTGTTCAACAACGGAAGACAGACCAATTACTGTAGACCAGTCCACGAGCGTAGGTCCAAATCGGGCTAGCTGGGTTGACCAGAGAAAATGGAGGACCATGGATGACCTCGGTCCACCGACTCGTCGGCACATGTTGGAGGGGGCAACTCTGCACTCAGCCAACTAAAAGAACTCCCCGGGAGTAAGCCCGGTCTTGCTTCCCTGCAACAGCACCCAGCAGGAGGTCCCATTGGTGACGAAGAGAAGGTCGGCTCGGCAGCCCCAGTTGGTCAGAAAGCGATTAGAACATTAACAGGAGGCGAACAGGATGCTCTTTTTCTAGGACAAACGCCATGGACATGGATCAGCACTGAAAAACAAAAAAGCATAACCCTCATATCTTAAAGATTTTTAAAGATATCCAAATCCCGTGACTTCATCTCAGTCTTGTTAGTTTCGGGTCCTGCTTTGTTTCAATGTTCGCAGCTGCTGCCAGTCCAAGGCCATGAGCTGCAATGGGTGAGAGAAAGATGCATCATTAGATACCATAAAGTGCAATAACGCAAGTTCGGTTGTGTAGATATATATATTTCCATGTTTGAAGTGGTCACAGGACTTGCTCTGAGTGAAGCCCAGAACACTAACAAAGCCAAACAGGGGCAGAGGAGGATCACGCTTCAACTCCCGCTTCCAACTTCCATGTGTTTATATCACACTGTGACACGCTTTGAAAGGCAATGATGCAACAGATTCTTTCCCTCAACCACTTTGATGAAAGCGCTTTACCTGAGCAGACGACTAAATCAAGCCAAAAGGCAAACATATCATGCAGAGCTGCCTTGTAGCCCACAGGGATTGCAGCTCCATAGGGGCCCATGGATGAGTTGGACCATCGTGTGCGGCACCCGCCGCTCCCTTTTCCGCTGCCGGGGCCGAAGCCTCCGCCGCCGCGCAGAGATGAAGAGCGCGAGCGCATCGCGGCGCGCGTGTGGAACTGGTGGAGGTGAAGGAGGAACATGCAGAGTCAGAAGTCGCTTCAGCACAGCCGATTGCGATGGCAGTGAAAGAAGAAGCAGTACTTCCGGGACCTTCCGGCTTTGGAGCAGTGTCCCGACCTGAGCCAAAAACCATGCCAGGAACTAGGGGCTCACTTCCTTTTGGCTCGTCAGCCAAGGCTCCACCACAGGGAGTGCCTCACGCCGAGCCGACAGCAGAGTCAGGTTCAGACATTTCACCACTACTCCTGCAGACGTGCAAGGCCAAGGCTGCTTCGGAAGCTCCACTGGCACGAGCACAGTCCAAGGTGAGCGGTTTGTGGGCAAAGGCACGGCCCATAGCAGTCAAGCCCCGCCCTCTGGCTGTGAAGTCTTGTCCTGCGCCAGCTTCGGCTTTTGCGGCTTCCCCTGTCAGAGACCTCACCAGCGCTGAATGCTCCTCTGCCGAGGCCAGCTCGGGGAAGGTGGCTGCGCCGGCAATGCCTGCGGTGCCTACGGCGGTTGACTGGAATGCAGTTCGTGAAGCACAGCTTCTAGGATTCTAGGCGAAGTGCCCGAGCCGGGCAGGGACTTCGATGTTTGTGGGCCTCCCAGCGAGAAGGCGATGCAATTGAAAGAGCCCGGTGTGGACATAGATGACCTCGATTTGAGTTGGGAGGACTGGGCATCCATTGGCATTATTGCCGAGAATGGTGCCATCAAGTGTCAGCTTTGCAAACAGGTTTTACCCGGGCATGAGGAGGTTGTGGATCACATGAGCATCAAAAAGAAACGGAACAAACGATGGTACCACTCTCACTTCGACTGGCTTTTTTGGACGATGAAATGCTGGCGGCGGCTTCAGAGGGACGGCTGGCGGTTGAAGTCCCATGGTGTGTGCATCTCTCAGAAACGTTTCCACTGCAAAGCCTGCAGTCTGGATGTGCCGTGGCAAGATGGTTTCGCAGGTGGTGCTGGAGGCCGCGGCCACATCTGGACGAATAAGCACTTGACGACCTGCTGGCGGAACAAAAGCGCTGAGCTCGCGAAGCGTGCCCCAGCGCATGAGCAGCAACCATGGGATGAGATGCTTAGCCCGTTTACTCACACGGTGCTTGACACCGAGACTGACCAGCTGGTCGATGCAGCTGTGCTGACCGAAGCCGGTGGCCCCACAATCACTACTAGCAGCAGCAGCAGTTCGTCCAGAAGACCGCGGAAACGAAAGAGACAGAAGAGCACTTCTTCATAGTGAAAGACAGTGCGTGGCATGGCGAAAGCGTGTGAACTTGCTTAGTTTTTCAGACGGCCTTTTAGTGTCAGTCTGGACCTGTGTCACCATTTGTGGAATCCTGGGGTGTGTGTGCGCAACAGAGGTCGCCACGCCTTGGCCGGTGTCACAACGTTCACGGTGCCTTTCAGCTTGCAGCAGGAAAAGGAAGATCATCATGTCAGAACACATAAACACAGTCTGAAGGCATGGTTGCCGTATGAATCAGAGACCTAGGAAATATATGGAAATATATATAAGTGTTCACCGTTCACCGCTTTTGCCGAGGCTTTGCTGAAGCCAGCTCCTGCCACCCCAACGAAGCGTCGTGGGCTTGGGACCTTGGAATCTATAATGGGTGGGAGGTGGAGGTGGTGGCCGGGAGCCGGTGTCATGCGACAACAAGCCGTCAAGGATCGCCAAGGTGTTGCAAGCGTGCATATCCAGCAACAAGGAAGTCTAGGGCTGGGCTGGGTCTAATTACTATTTACACTTCGTGAGACGTCTTGTTTATTGATTGTCTACTTGTTTGGTTCCTGCTGTCGACAATCGGTGGGGGAACCTTGTTTGGTCATGGGCTTGTTGATTTGGTCGTGCTGCGTTAGTTGTTCACTGGTGTTCTGCGGCCGCCGTGTGCCATCGCACCATGACCAGAAAAGGGCCGGCTGTTGGATGCCAAGCAGGTTCAACCCGCCGGCTGAGTTCAAGAAAGCGACGGGTGGTGTACCTGGTTCATCCGTTGCCACGCAGGTAACTAGTAACACACCTTGGCAGTTCTTGCCGCAGGGCAGTATACAGTTTACACATGATTTGACCCGGCTTTAGTGCGCCAGTGGTCAACTGCCTGTTCGGTCGGCGGTCTCAACCTCCAGCTGTGGGTCAATTTCGATGACCCGCTCTTGGGACGTAACTGAATACCCCAATTGGAGGGTAGCCCTCTATTGAACAAGCATGGAAGTAGAAAATGGCCCTGTTGGTCGCCGTTGTTGGGTTTCTCTTTCCATGACTCAATTCAATGACTCTTGATGGTCATGTGTCAGTTTGACCGGAGGGTGTCTAGGGTTTCCATCGACCCGCATCGTGTCAGGGCAAGAGGATTGGAACCTTACTGTAGGCGTTGTTGAAGGCAGGCCTTTCACTGAGCTGATTGTAATTGTTTGGGTGGGGTGTTTTGGTAGGTTTCTGAATTACACGCATGAGATTTGACTCAGGCCACGCCGGGGCAACGTAGACCAGTGATGACCAATGTGCCAGAGCAATTCCGCATGGAAGAAACTACTTGAGGGACAGGAAACTGGAAACACAGGCAGTCCTTTGCCAAACCCAAGTCGAGATAACCAAACACGTCGAGGCAGTGTGTCAATATGTTTTCGTACCCGCTCTCACTGGCTGGTTCCAGATGACGGTCTGAGACTCGCATTTAAGCGCTCAGGCGCAAAGCCCTTGGGGAGCCTTTGGCGAACACCTTTGGAGCTGTGCCTGGAACTTGGTCTCAGTGATTGAGACTTCAGTATGGAGATGAAAGCGCAACGAGGGTTGTTTGGGTTCATGGCTTTGCTGTGCTGCAGACTTCCACAGACTGCCACCGTTTCGTGATTCTCTCTCAGAAACCTTTGGGCTTCATCGAGTGCCATCTCCCGTGTCCTTTCTCCAGGCCTAGGAGGTCAGAGGGCTATAAATATCTATATAGGGTGTAGCCCATTACCAGTAACAGTCGGTAAAGAAATATCACTACTTTATACTATAAAGTTTAAAGAAAGGCTTTACTAACCGTATCTAACCCAAAAAATCCACTGTTACTGTTCATGGGATACACCCAATATCATAAAATGCTAGTGTCAAGTCTGTCAGGTGTCGTTCCGGCAGCCGGGCCATCGTGTTGGCCAGACGATTCCGATTCGGAACCCACTCTACTAGAGCGGCCTTTTCTCCATGGGGGGATGGACCATGTTGTGTGGAGCGACCACAAAGAACCGTCTTTTAATTGTGAGCATGCGGCTCAAAGTAAATCGTTTATACACATGCCATGTGCAGCATTTTCACCAATGAGCCTTATCGGATAAGTGGCACGAATCCATGAACACTACGAAGAACGGGGGATGCATTCCATTTCACACGTGGGGATGATGTGGCTCCAGTCGCTCTCTGGCCACGAGGTCCGGCGGACGCGGAGCTTGTTCGACACAGGGTGGACAAATCGAAGCGCCGCACTTTGGGCCTGGCGGCCTTGCTCGACTGTGTCAACTTATGATTGGCAGTTTCAGGAGCTGTCATGCCATGCCCAGTGGTTTCTGACTTGGTTTCGGCATGTGTGCTTGCTGGACGGAATGGCCTATGTGCTGCAAGCCATTTTTCCAAGCGCCCAGACTGCGGCAGGCTTCCCGTCAACCCGGGACCGCCGAGTCCGACATCAAGTAAGGTAAGGCAAACCGCACACCGGCTCATGGTCACATCACACGGGACTTGAGTCGCAGCTAAGGTGGAGTTTTCTTTGACCCCAGCGTCCGCGCCAGGGCCACGAAGTGCAGTTCATGGAGGATCCAAACACCACTTCTGGTGATAAGGCTGTTGGAGTTGGTCGAAGGGTTTAGAACCCTTTCCCTGCTCCCTTTTCCCTGGAAACCGTACTAACACAGGCAAACACTTGGTGCTTCAAACGGGCCGTCATGTCGCTGGAAACTCGCGAGATCCAGGCCACTGGGACTCAGAGCGTCCGTCCATCCGTCCATCCGGGTGGGGAGGACCGAGGAAGGGCAGAAAGCATCCCCTGCATGGGCGTCTGGTAGCAGCACGGCACCAATCTCAGGCCACCCTGTGTTGCTTGCTCACCAGTGAGGATCTGAACATGAGGTGGTGGGGGTCCTGAACATGACGGGGGCTCCTGGACGAACCACGGGCAGTGGTCTCTCGATCAGAGAGGTGCGTGGCCCGACCTAAACATTATACAAGAAGATGGAGGACCATGTTTTTTCTTTTTTTTTTGGGGGGGTTGGAAGAAGCTGCGGTGTGCTTTCGCATGGCCAGCAAGGCTGTTTCATTGACCTGAACGCTGGGCCTGGCCTTCTGTTGCCTAGGTCCTAGGTCTCTAGAGACCTGGCCGAAACATGTTTTCCAATGGGTTTTCCAATGGGTTTTCTCGGAGAATGGGCGATTCCAAGCTCCCATTTTCTTCTTCTCTCGGTCGGACGTGCTTTGCCCACATAGTGGACACACACATCAAAGAGGAACAGATGAAACAACGTAAAAGGGCCTCGTACTCGTCCGTGTCGTTCTAAATTAAAAACGTTCTGCCAATGAACCTTGATGAACATGAACATGTGTTAAGTTTCCTTTCTTTTTCTGTGTCTCACTCTTACAACAAACATCAAGCTTTGCGTGCGCAGGCCCATACAGGCCCCATACTTTGGGTCTGCCCGGTCTGCCTTATTGCCTGTAACAGTCGGTATTGTAACTATATATTTTAGTTGAAAGGCCTTGACTAATCATCATCATCCACGGTTGCCGGTGATGGGATGGATCCAACCCAGACCAACCTCCGCAGCCTCACGTGTAGTGAACTACACGTTCCACCACGCCTTTCAAGGACGAGGAGCCCCGGAGTTTCAAGGACGAGGCGCTGGACCAAACGCGCCTGGCGCTGCCCATTTGCGCCGGACTGCTGTCGACGCAGGTGGGGTCTCGTGGTCGGTGGAACATGAAAGAGCACCACCACCGGTGCTTTAGCAGGTGTTGTCCTCTCGCTGGCCTGTGGATTTGAGAGCACCTCTACTTCCAACACCACCTTTCCACCAGCAGCATCATCACCGTCTCCACCATTTTGGTACAAACCCTCGCCTGCAGATGTTGCCTCCCACATGCTCCGTGACCTCGCCCTCTGCGCAGGTGGTGAACCTCGTCTCCACGGTGCTCGTGGGACGCCTGGGCGCCCGCGACCTCGCTGCGGCCAGCCTGGCGGTGAGCCTGGCGAACGTCTCCGGCTACAGCGTCCGGCGGCCGAGGGGCGCCCGGTGAGTCTGGGTGGGTCTGGGTGGTCGGTCGAGGTGGAGCGGGGTGGTGGGAGGTGGCAGTGATGGCCAGTTGAGATGGAGCGTGCTGCAGTTGCCGCACTTGGTGTCGGTTCAGAAGCATCTAAAATCCTGGAACCTTGAAGACCAGACTTGGATGTCCATTTGGGAATTCATTTTCTTTTGTGCCATATATGTATCCGTGCTCCTTTACGGTCCGTGCGTGTCCTTTTGTGGCTCTGAGGTCATCGTGGGGGTGGCCAGCACCCTGCAGACCACGGCAGGGCAAGCTTTTGGCGCTCGGAACTTCGAAGAAGTCTCCTTGAGCTTGCAGCGCTGCATGCTGCGCCTTGGTGGGCAAGGGGTGGTGGAGGGTTCGGGTTAGGACTTCAGTGAATTTGAGAGAGAGAGAGAGAGAGAACATGGTAGGAAATCGAGCCGGGGGGACGTTGATGTGCGCGTTGGAGATGCTGGTGGTTGATTCTGGTCAAGATTGTGGTCTTCAATGCTCATGCCAGAATTCGGGAGCCAAGGAGATTCAAAAGACTGCCCCTGTTTCAAGGTTCCTTCTTAGCTTCGGTTCTTCAAGCTTGCGGCCCAAGCTTGGTGATCCAGTTTGGACGGTTCGTCGTGTAAAGGTGACCTACACGGTCTTCAATGCTCAGAACTGAACATGCTTCTGCGACCTCCATGACCCCCAAGTGACCCTGCCGGCACCTCAGGCTGTGTGCGGTTTTCCTTTGCATCGTCGCGGCCTTGTGGTTCAACAGCCACTCCCTGCTGCTTCTGGGCGGCCAGGAGGAAGCGATTGCGGCCATGGCGGCACAGTATTTGCACATTTTGCTTCCAGGCGGCTGTGACGAGACCGTTCTGCGCGCACCACTTGTGTTCTGGATATACAGTAGGGCTTAGGAGACCTAGGTGCTGCACCAGATGTGTGTCAGGAATGTTGGGGGGATGCTTGATGTCACTAGCCCAGTGATATGCAGTGATGCTCCTGGCAGCCAGCTAGCTCCACCCATCTCATGGGGTGCCACTGGGTCTCCGATGGCCCCAATCCCAGGGCTGTGCTGTTTCGTGGTCACCCAGTGCCTCCAGCAGCTTGATCCGCACGGCGTAGAGCAGCCGAGCTTGGGGGCTCTGTTGTGTGAGACTCCCTTCGCCAATGGGTGCTTGAAACATCTTGAAACACCAAGTTTACATAGGTTTATCAACAAATAGGATCAAAAAGGCGGATTTCCATTTCGTTCCACGTGCGCGTTTTCTGGACAGAGTCTTTTTTGGCGCACGACGGATCAACGGATCAGGCATGTGAAAGCATCGGCCTTGGCTTTGAAACTGGTTGGTGATCCACTGCAATGCACCATTTTCCAAGGTTTCTGGCCTCAAAGGATATTGTGGTGGTGTTGCCACCGCCCTCGTTATTTTACAACATGTGCCTTTTTGGAGGAAGGACTGAGAACGGATGAGAATGGATATTTTTAGGTGTTGATGCTATTGGCTCTGCACCGTGCTCAGTGCTGGCGCCGCTCCAAGGAACTGGCTGGCGGGGCAGCGTGTGACCGGTGTGCAGGGCAGCAGCGGCTTCGTCTTGGCGGTGGTCCATTTACCGCTCTGCTGGCTGCTGGTGCAGCAGATGGGCTATTTGGGGGCGGCAGTGGCCACCTCCATGGGGAACTGTTTGCGGCTGATCTGGGTGATCTACAAGCAGCCCGGCTGGTTCAGGTGATTCTGCATGCTGTTGGAGAGGCAGATTTTGGGAACTAGCTCGGAAGAACTGCGACTCTTGTCCCTCTCCTAGCCTGCGAGGATGAATCCGAGAAGAATACACTTAAACCGCTTATACAATCACAGTCATCCCCTGCTTCCTTGTGTTCACATGACCACCCTTCCAAGCCTCCAACCTCCACGTCCTTGGCACTTGACGCAGGACCCGCCGGGCGCTGCGAGACTTGAGTCAGTCCTGGCAGGGCTGGTCCAGGAAGGCCTTGCAAGGCAGGCTGGGTGCTGACAGTGCTGACTTTGTAGAGATGGCGTGGATCTTCCAAGTCTGGGTAGGTCGTGTGGGTAGGTCAATGGATGTCTTAATGGGCTGGAAAAGGAGATCAGGGAAAAGGTGCAGACACGCGGCTCAGGAGGTGATTCAAGTTTACCATTGCTTCGGTTTCGGGTGTTGGGAGCCCCGGGGCCCCCAGGCCCTAGGGCCCTAGGGGAGCAACATAGAAGGATTAACATTAGAGATCAGGTTTTTGTGGTGCATGCTTCCAGATTCTGTCCTGCCCTGTCAGATGATCTGTAGAATAATTACACACATCACACATCACATCATAATCATCATAAGGATGATAATCATAATAATGTTCCCTCCAGGCCAATGAACGCTGACTAAACTCCCTTCAAGGCTGGCCCAGCTTCCTTCGCTTGGCCTTGCCCAACTTCCTGATGATCTCGGAGCCGTTTTCGGCGATGTCGAGCGAAAACAATTGGGGCATTGCACACCCTGAGGGGCCTGGGGCTGTGTTCCGTTGTCACGTAGTTTTTACGTAGTTATGTAGAGTCTGTAGAGTACTGTATAATACGGTATTTGGTTGCGTGGGCTCTGCTGAGCTAAACAATGTTGAACGCGTTCATCATGGCAATCGTGCCCCGTTCATACGTCGCGCGGGAGGAGTGGTGGGCAGCCGAGATCATCGTGCTTCTGGCGGGCACGTTGCCCAATGCCGAAGCGAACTTGACGGCGATGGCCATCTTCTCCAACACCTGTGCCCTGGCGGGCTGGTTGTGGAGTCATGAGTTGAGCATTTATTGAGCTTGAGGAAGGTTAGTTATGGTGTTCTGGCGCTTTTGTCGGCTTGCATGCTCAAGTGAAACATTTGCATCATTGCGATGAAACGGAACTACAGTGGAGCAGTGGAGCAGCTATAAGTATAAGTGATAGGGGCGGAAACCAAACATCTTGGCCGTCCCAACAAGGCAAGCAAACTTTCCTTCAGCCCGGCTTTTGCAATGTTCATGCCTTTACCCAGAAAGAGGGGCTGCTGTGGCAAGCCTGCCAAATGCTTGCCGATGTGGTTGCTGGTGTGTGCAGGCTGGCTCGAAATGATGCATCTCAGCTATTTGGGGGCATCGAGGCAGCTGCGGACCCGCAGCTGTGGGCTCCGGACTGCTAGGAGGGTGCGAAAAAGCCAGATTCTAAGGGCGAGGTCAGACGGTTGAACTCCAGACTCAAAGAAGCCGGGTCAGAGTTGGAGCTTGTTGGCATTCTGGAGGAGACGGTGAATGCAGCTTTCTTCGATCCCATCCACGCATCAACGGCAGACTGGCAAGTTTGGCCCGGAAAAGTCAAGACTCCCTGTCGCCAAGATGGAAAGAAAGCTCCGCACTGAGCAGGCTACATGCTCGGATGCGGACCTTCATCAAGCAAAATGAGATAAAGTCATGGGCATCTGCCAATCTGCTCTGGGCAATGGCAAATCTGCATAACGCAATCCCCACCATGACGCAGCTCCTTTCGGATTTGGTCGAAGTATTTCCAGCAAAGACCCGCAGCATGACGGCACAAGAACTGGCGAATTGTCTGTGGGCCTTAGCACAGTTGAGGAATGTGGAGGATGTATCCCAAGATGATGTTGCAAAGCTGGTGGCCACGCTTGCCGTCCACATCCCAGGGAAGGTCAAGGAAATGAAACCTCAAGAGCTGTCCAACTGCTTGTGGGCAGCGGCGCAGTTGAAAGACGTGAAGGATGTGGCACCCAATGATGTGGTCAACGTAGTGTCAGCACTAGCTGCCCAAATCCCAAGCAAAACTGATGGCATGAAGCATCAAGAGTTGTCCAACTGCTTGTGGGCAGCGGCACGGTTGAAAAATGCCGCACCAGAAGTCTTAAAGTGTGTGCCAGCGCTTGTAGCACAAATCCCAGACTCGTTGGATGACATGAAGGCATTGAACCTCATGAAGCCACAAGATTTTGCAAATAATTTGCAGGCACTTGTGCTTCTTGAGGAGGTTGTTCCTGAGGCAGGCCACTTGCTTCATGCATCTTTCTTGCGACTGGCGGCAGTGCAGTTCAGTCAGATGCTCCCAGAACTGAGTGACAGGGAGTTGCATTTGGGTGTGCCTGTTGTTGTTTGGGCTTGTGCACGGTCAGGAATGCGAGATCAATCACTCCTCAAAGCAGTGCAGCAACGCTTCATGTCCATCAAGAAGTTCTTGTCCCTCACAAACTGGGGACTTTGTGCCTTGACTTGGTCCTACTGCAAACTCGACGTGGCAGGTGAGTTCAAAGAATTCGAGCGAGCCTTGCAGGGGGAAGTTTCGAAGAGGGGGCTCTCTGAAGCTGACGTGCAGCGCAGCCAGGTAGGGTACTTTGAAGAGCTGGAGGCAGCCTCTAGATGGTAGATGTTGCCATTGTGGGCGTAGCCACTGCAGTTCATTACACCTATATATATATATATGTTATATTTGCGAATTCTCTTTGATATGTTGGCCATCGTGAGGCGTTTGTTTCCGGTGCTTGGCATGTTTAAGTCCTTTGTTGCACCATCTTGTGCAGAGTGCTGCAGCTACTTCGGCGCACCACTGAGATTCTGAGTGCGCCTGTGGCAAACGCCTGTCATGCCGACCCGCTTCTTCTTGGCACTGGTAGGAAGAGATGAAACCACAATCGTTGCAAACAGTTTGACAAAGAAAGTTGCGCGGTTCGGGGAAGAAGTCCACCAATGATGCCGTCCAAGGGAGTGTGGGAGGAGGCAAGTGCCCTTTGCCTCCCTTTGTCTCAGCAAACAGCAGCCTCAATTCAAGCACTGTGAGGAGACTCCTCATGCAACTTTCATGTCTGTAGTAGGTGAGGCGAATGTCTCAACGGGGAACGCTCCAGACGGATCCAAACGACCCAAGCAGTCCATGTCAGCCATGCAGCCCTTAAGTAGTCAAGCTTCTTTCATTTGAGAAGCCTAAGCCTAAGCTCACCGCAGATGTACTCCAACCACTTGCAGGTTCCCTTTGCTTCTACTTCCCCTGTGGCCTGGGCATGGCCACCAACACCCGCGTGAGCAACGAGCTGGGCGCCGGACGCGCTCATGGTGCGCGCGCAGCCATGCGCGTGAGTATGTTGCTGGGTTTGGGCTTGGTGATGCTCACGCGACCTGGTTGATGTCTTGGAGAGGGTGCTTGATTAGTTCTTTTGTGCGGCGCGGCCTGAAAGCCAGACTGCCATTTTTGCACATATGACTCACAGTATCATCACGAAAGAGGGGGTTGTCCCGGGGATGTATAGGTGACACTACCAGATAAAGCATAATAAAGCAGTGACCTGGAGCATAAATGTAAGAACTTGTGAAAGTATCGGGAATCACTGACATCACTCTAACCCCCGCCTCCCATTGCCTCCCTACCATCATTTTGACGGACAAAATCACATTTGAGAGGCTGGGGAATTGCTCATGCAAAGCCCCGATATTCCACGATGTTTTTGGATGGTCCGCATATTGACGTTGCCACCTGCCCTCCACCTGCCCTCCACCTGCCCTCCACCCACCGACTCGACCCGCTTTTTACGAGGTCCTTAGCGGTGCTCTTGGGCCGCCATGGCTGGCTACGCCTCTTCACCGCGGACCGCGCGGTGGACGCCACCGCGGAGCCGGTGCTGCAGGTGGCCAGCGCCTACGTGGTCTTCGATGGGCTCACCATCGTGGTGAACGGCGCGCTGAAGGGCTGCGGCCGCCAAATGATCCAGGAGAGGACGGGGGGGTTCGCGGCCGGGATGGCCACGATGGTGAAGCGTTCGGGGAAATGGTGGGAGGGAGCGAACCGTGGTGTGGTGGGCTCGGAAGAAAGCAAAGTGAGGTTGTGAGGAGGTTGGGAGAGTGGCTAGGGCACGGGTTGGGGAGGGATGGGAGGATGGGGGGGCACATGATGGGAAATGGTGCGGCTTTAAATATGAGCATAACGAACACCTCAAGACTCACTCTTGTGGAACCAGCCAGTTCGACATTTTAGACACCTGAAGCGAGGCTGATCTCACACACTCGCGACCTCTCACGATCAATCTCCCAGCAACACCCTTCAAGATTAAAGCCTCTACTTCAGCACGGTGCCCATCTTCCCTTGGACGATTGAACCCTGGGCCGTGGGACCGCGGCACACGAGGCGCCTATCGTGGTGGCGTCCTACTACTTGTTGGGCCTCCCGATCGCTTGGCTGTTGGCCTGGCCGGAGCACCTGGCCACCCTGGGCCTGGCGCTGGGCGCGCTCGTGGGCACGGCGGCCAACCTCTTGGGCTTCCTGTGGTGGCTCGGTGGGAAGAGGAAGACGATACTTCCCACCAACTCCACTGGAAAAGCATCAGTAGTTATCTGTGGCCCAGTCCCCGCACCTGCCAGCTGCTAGACCTTTGTACTTGGAGATCTTGGAGGGTCATTGTCGGCCAACAGGCATCAAGTGCACCAAACGGATGCCCAAACTTCGATCTGCCGAGGCTCATTCTGGCCACCGATTGGCACTTGATGGTGCGCCGCGCGCAGGAGCGCGCCGGCGCGAAACCGTTGCTGGAGTCAAGCTCTTCCAGTCTGGGCGGATGAAAAGGGCGGTGGGAAGGAAGAGGTGTGGAGATGGTGTGTTTGAATTAGTGATCGCCCCCTTCTACTTACGATCGTCAGACGCCGCCAAGAACGTCAAGTGGGAGGAATCCAAGTTATGATTATGGACATTTATTGACTAATATATAGGATGATGGTGATGGAGGCCATTTGCAAGAACCCTTCTTGGCGTCCGTGGTGTGGTGGTTGGAGCGTGGGCCAATGTATTGCAGCCAAGCGATTTTAGGATGGACTGTTTGCCACTTGGATGGGATGTTGAATAACGGTGAGTGATTAGGATTTAGGATTGTTAATGCTATATTTATAAATTTATATAGGTCAGCTGGATGGTTTGAAAGGGGCCATGAAGTGGTGTGCAAGCGGCCGCCCGTAGGTGCAACTATTGGATAGAAACGAACTGTGACAGACTTAGGCTTGAAGTCAAGTGCCTGCCGCCGCTCAAGCTGCCAAAACGGTTTCAAGTTCCACGTTCCACGTTCCAACTCCAGCATCAGGCCAGCTGCCACACGTCGGGACCGCACACATTCGCTCACGCATCGGACTGAGTGGTCAACGCAGCAGCTCGACGGATCACACCGACAGGGACAGGTGTTTCTCCCGGCATTTTCTGCGCCCATGGCGCTGTCACGGCTGTGCCTACGCGCGAGCCGCGGGAACTCGTGCTCACGGGTCTATCGGGCCTTGCCACGGCCGGTGTATGCAGGTGAGGTCGATCGGGGTCAGTGGGGCGATGGGGGGAGAGAGAGAGAGATTTACCTTTGGGATCTTCCACCTCTCTCATGCATACAGCATATAGTCATGCATACCTTACATTACAACACAATACAATACAACACACTGCAAGACAGTACAATACAATACAATACGGTACAATACAAACACACGTTATTGATCGCATCCCAAGACGGGTGCCTTGGCACTCCGCCGCTTCGCCATGCGAGGCACCTTGCCAGGCCACCTGCTTGTGCCGCGAGGCTCTTCCTCGCTGCCGGGCCCGGCGGCGGATGCGGAGCCCAAGGCGCCTGAGAGCTGCAGCTTGGTTGGGGAAGAGTGGAGGTAAGGCTTGCGGAGGTCTGGAGATGCTACAAGTAGGTTGAGTAGTAGTGATAAGCTTTCAAGGTGTAGAGAGGCAGACAGAGGCTAGAACCTTTGGCCGTGGCCTGTGGGCCAGGTGTTTTTGTTGGGGGTAGAGCTGCTGGCCGGATCGACTTTGAGGTTGGGGGTTGGACTCCACCAAAAAAGGATTTGAATCGGAAGAATCGTTGGACTTTCTTGGACGCGATCAAAGCTTACACCCTGAGTCACTAATATGGAAGTGGATGGCGTGGTCTTTTCGAAGACTACTTTCCTTTACGAACAGAAGAGCAGGAGGTTATCCACTTCCACGTGATGTGTTCGTCCGAGGTGCCCAGCCCACCACCCAAGGTCCACCCGTCAAACGGATCTTGACCGCAGCCCAGGGCAGTTGAGGGCGCATGCGCTGAATTCGGTCGGGCCACCTAGCTGGTGCTGACATGCGATGACATGAAATGCTATAGCCTATAGCTGCTCAATTTGAGAACATCTCAGAGGTTTTGCTTTGTTGTGGCGACTGCGCAAGTCGCAAGGCTTTTGAGGGTTGAACGCATGCTCATCTTCTAAACAGAGCTGACTTTTGTGCAGACATATGCAGACATGATAGGCCTGGAAATCAGTGCTCAGCGGTTTTCAGAAGGTTGATGAACTGTTCAGCGGCAGGCCTCAGTTTGACCCTGTGGCTGCATGAAACTATGAACCTTACATACGCGATCTTATTTTGTTGGCTATGCCCAGCAGGCTGTCCCAATGGTGGCCTTCGGGTTCATGGACAACACCGTGCAGCCCTCAAGGGCTCGGAGGGGAGGCCCTTTTCAAACACGACAGACCCTGAAAACAGCCCGGGTGGAAGATGGTCGATTCAGCGCCGTGGCCGTGTGTTTCGACTTCGGCGCCGTGGCCTTTTTCCGCTCAGATCGGACGTTTAGAAACGGAAGGGGTACGCGGAGGTAAGCCAGCACCGTCAGCGCACCATTCATCTCATTAAACCTGGTGGTGAATGGTGCAACGCCGACGTCCAAGTTCTGAACGCCACTCAGCCGGGGCCTATCCGTGCCGTGTTCTCCGGCAGCTTAGGAATCCCTTCGTTTCGCATGTCCCAAGATCCAGGACTCCGGGGACCCCTCGCAGCATGCTGTTTTCAACTCGATCCCAAGCTTGGTCTTGACCCGACCGGCGGCTCTCTCCCTTTCCCCACCGACTCCCAAAACAGCTCCGCGAGCGGAACACGTGGTTCCTTCACCCCGCGTGGTTCCTTCGCCCCCAGGTGATGCTGCACGCGGGGAACGCCATTGATGCCACCTTAGGCGTGACCTTTGGTCTGTCCACCCTGGCGGCCGCCGCGTGTGGGCAGCGCCTCGGTTAAGACTAGATGACCTTAAAGGATGACCGGAGGTGGGGGTGGTGGATGGGGTGGTGGGTGATGGATGGAGCTGGATGAACCAAACAAAAAGAAGGCAAAGAGGATAATCATTTTGCATCATTTTGATCATTTTGCAATTTATACTTTTCATCCGGCACTGTGCAAGAAGGTTCCTTTTCAGCATTCATTAGTCCATGTCGGATCCGTTTTTAATAGGTGTACTTATGTGAGATCTTGGGCGCAGGTCAAAAAGCCAACACCTCTCACACGCACGGAGAGAGTAGAGGAAACATCCGAAGAGATGCCTTAGGAGTGCTTGGCAGGGAGTGCCTGCAAAGCATCGCTCCCCGAGCCGGGTGTACAAAAGGTCCCTCCCCTTTTCCACTTTTTGGTTCTTGGTGTTGTCGCCCGCCCTGAGAGATGCCAGTGGTTAAACATGAGGGGACTGCGTGTTGCTTTCGAAACGCCAGCTTGGCCACTTGGGAACGAAGAGAGGTTTCAGTGGTCACTCGGGGAGCGCGCGCGAGACGAGCGCCACGAGCTGAGGGTCTGCTCCGATATGGCCGGAGTGCCTTGGCCTAACCTGCGGCTCGCTGCGTTCGATGGGATGCCTTCATCAGAAGAAACTCGAAAAGGGTCCGGAGCTGACCCGGCTTTGCTGACTGGCGTGCTGCCCTCTTCCACCCTCCAAGAAAGCCTACTAGGCCTACTACTGACCTCTCCAGTTTCACTGGATCATACTTGATCCCACTACTTTCCCCAAGGGCCAGGGAGCTTTCCACCTCCCCCCAACCCTTCACATCCCTTCACCAACCCCTCGCACTTCCTCGCCCGCCCCGGCGCCCCGTTCCCTCGAGGTGACCTTCGGCGGGGTGATCGAGGCGTTGGCGTCAAAGGTGGGGCTCCCCTCGGCACATCTCTCCGAGGAGAAGCCGACTGACCAGTCCGAAAGGGGATCTTTCCGAGTCCGAGAGGGATGGAGGAACCCAAAGCAACCTGACTGTGATGTCGGGGTGCTTGGAACGAGTTGGAAGAGTTGCGTGGTTTGTCGTGCGTGTGATGGAGTGGTGCGGCCATTTGCATCGATTTGCGCTTCCTGCTTTCCCACATTGAAATGTATCATGTGCAACCCCTAGTAGCATTGAAGCCTGCTTTCCTAATTGTTCTTGCTCTCAGGTGTAGCCAGCAGACTGGTCAGTCATGCCTGATTGTGCCTTACTTCGGCCCCCATTGATTTAAGTCGGTGTGAGGAGCAGCTGGGGACAGGCGTGGTCAAGCGCGCCGCTCGGGCTGCATCTCAAAACCGGGTTCCGCACCGGTGGACTCACCCAGAGCCTCACCCCATCTGCCAAGGTGTGGAAGAATGATGGGAGGTTGGACCAAGAGGACTTCTTAAACATGCAGAATTGCATCTTTATGCGTCCCTTTCTTTTAGACACGTTTGTTTTTGAGTGGTGTTTCAGGTTGGGGATGGGTGTGGTCAAAACTGAGGTCGGTCTTATGGGTAGCCTCGTGGGAGTGTGCCGGCCTCAGATAAGTCTAGTGTCGCAATTGAGAGAGAGAGAGAGAGAACGGTATATGGGCATTTTACATGGTGTCGGCACATTGTCACCCAACTTCCTCATGTCTTCCCTTTCAGGCCGATTTCAACACCCAGAGTCGATTTTAGCGCTTTATGATCCTTGGTCCCTATGCTGACACAGGAAAAATGTGAGTGTATATATATATATACACACACATATATATACATATACGCACATGGGAAGGTCAACCTTCCAAATCCCACATGGCAGCTCACAAGGAGGACGATTTTCTTCAATCCTGATCTTCTGCCGCTGACCCGACTGTGCCCTCAAGAGCGCCTTCCAACCCGCTCGGCTGTGGGGCCCACCGCGCTGCTTCGGTGTTTTCAACCCATGGGGCGCTCGGTGGTTTTCGTGGGCATCGCGGGTGCGAGCGGCTGTGGTAAGACCACCTTGGCGCGGAAGTTGGCGGAGGCCCTCCAGTCACCCTTGGAGGCGACGAAAAAGACTGGGTCATACAGTATCTTTCAAAACTTTCAAGGTTTTGGAGATGAAGAAGCATGGGTTTGATATGGTTTGGTGGCTCTTTAATTGCTTCAAGACAGCTCCTAACTCCCTTTGCCATGCCAACCTCTGGAACCGTGTGCCCTTCTTGAGGTCCTTCACCTAGACAACTACTTCCAGCCAAAGGGGCAGGGCCGCCCGCCGAAGCACTACTGGGAGACGCCTGACGGGGTGGACTTCGAGGCCTTGCGCAAGGATTTGAAGAAGATCCGGGAGACCTTCTCGCACCGAAAGTGGCCAAAGAAGCTGCGCCTGGGGCGGAATGGGAAGGATCTTCTGCGCTCAGAGATTCCTGCAGGTGCTGACTGGAAGGCCGGCTTAGAGTCTCCCATGGTGGTACTCGTGGAAGGGTTTCTCCTCTTCTATGACGACCTTTTGGCAGAGATGCTGGACTTGAAGATTTGGATCAATGCCAGCTGTGGGACCTGCATGCGGAGGCGTCACTTGAGAGGTTGGAACTCGCGGCACATGGACTTGGGCGAGTATGGCGAGTGGTTCGTCCGGGTGGTGTGGAGACATTTCGAGTGGTACCAGCGCAAGCAGCTGCGGAATGCGAAGGACGCGCTGCAGGTGCCAGGGGACGCATCCGAAGAAGAGGTGGGCAAAAACAAACACCAAAAAGGTATGAAGACATAGGATGAACTAGGGTACATCATTGAAGATGCATCGTGACATATACCCTAGAAGTCCAAAGACTATATTTTGACCGGCTGAAGTAAAGGAAGTTCCCTTTCAGTTCCCCTAAAGACCATTCTTTTTATAGTCTTTGACTCCCAGGGTATATACTGCTTTGTTGCCTGCTTTGTTGCCAAAAAAGACGTCGCAGAAAACGAAGGAAGAAGACACATCCACCACTTGGGTTTCAGCTTTTTGGCTGAACCTCTCGCAGCCCAGGTCTTTCACTACTCACTGTGGTGCTTGCCCTTTGACTGGAGCTGGTCGACCGACCCGGAGGGCACCTGACCTGGCATGACCTGGCGAACGACCTGGCGAACTTCGACCAGCAGTGAGTGCAGTGCTGTTTGGTTGGAAGTTGGGCCAGATGCAAATCCAAGAGCCCTTGATATGTGAACGTCACTGTAATGACATATATCCGGACATCATTATTCAATATGAACGTTTTTTGAGTGAAGCCTATTGGAAGGATCTAGCAGGTTTCTCAATTTGCAACTTTTGGAAGTTGCGAAAGTTGGGCGTGGTGGTATTTTTTGGTGGGTGCAGATCGAACATGCTGAGGGATATGGTGATCCACAGCATCCACAGCATCCACGGCCCCAAAACGCCAATTTTGCCTTGCTGGCCTCGCGCGCGACCTCTCCGATACGGTCGCTGCGTCGTGGACGGGCCTCTCCGTCCGACGTGCATGTGTTTTCCGCCGTGTGCGGGGAAAGTCAGCGAGGCGCTTCCCAGGCTTGAGACGTGTCAAGACCGTGTGAGGGCAACCGGCCGGAGCCGTGGTCAGGCGTTGGAAAGGGGATGATCACAAAACGTAGAGAGAGGTACTACTACTACCACTACTACCACTACTACCACTACTACTGTACTACTTCTTCTTCTTTCAGCCACCTTTCTTCGAGCTTGCGACCGGACCTCCCGCCGTCCGTCTTCTCTTTCGGGGCTCTGGACCGGTCCCCACCGGTCCCGGACCGGGCGCGACTGCGACCGGTCCTCCGAGGTTCACGGGATGTTCCTTGGGGCTCCTCAACCTCTTCATCATCGTTGGGAGCCCCCATCCTCGCGACTGAAGCGACCGGAGTCTAGGGACGGGGCGGGTAGGGGGTTAGGATGGGTGGGGGAAGGATCGGGTTGGGGACGGTCATCTGGCGGTTGGGGCCCAGAAGGGTGGAAGGTGCCGTCGGAGGGCGCCGTCTGGGGCGCGGAGTGGTCGACTCTGGAGCGAAGAGTGGCCTCAAGTGGGCCGAAGTCCACCCGTCGGGGAGACGTCGGTGTTCAGAGGGCAGTAAGTGCGTTCAATATGCAGTGTGTATCCGGGCCGTTGGCCATCCCAACAGCCGTTTCGAGGGGAAGTATTCAGAAGGGAAACCCCTTCTATATAAACATCATCAGAGCCTCCTCGTGCCTCATCTATATAATCTCACGAAGGGATCTATGTAGATTGCAACTAGAGCTGCCGGCCCATGTTCCACCTTCGATTTGTATAGGATTTTCACCGGTTTCCCCGTCGCGTGGCCGCGTGGCTCAGCTCAGCCTCTCGGCTGAGGACACCGACCGCACGCGAGAGCTCAAGCTGGCGGCCGAGACGGAGGCCAGTGGGCGCGGCAGCCCAGCTTGTGCTCGCAGCGTTTTGGGGAGCGAGGTTGACATGTGGAGCACCTTGTGGTAGCTGGGCCAATCCCATTCTAACCCGTTCTGGGGTCATCAAAAGCAAGGGGCCCAATGGTGGGTAGATCAGGTCCTGACCCTCGAGACGGCCATGTAAGGCGCTTGATCCCGCTCTGGGAACCCGATCGCAGCAATGAGAGAAGCGGAGAAGCCCAACTAAAGCTGCCAGTGGCTTCATCCGAAAGGATTCTGCAAGATGATCCGTAGTGTGTTTCGGTGCCGAGACTCCCTAAAGACCTTCACCCGGCAACTGAAGTTCATTTCTGGAAGAACGCATGCCTCTCTTGGGGTTGCCTAGTGGGCAGCATAGAGTTCATGGTTTATACAGCGGTAGCATTGCCAGATTGCAAGGGGACACTTTTGCAGAGAGCTTGGAGTACAAGATTCTAAGATGGTGTGAATCTATGGGCAGCATAGGTGCTCTTTCGGAGCGGCCTGGCGAGGGACCCAGTCATTCCCCTCCCTTTCCATTCCAAGGTTCAGCATTGCCATGAGCAACGCCCGGTGCCCCGGAGACTTCCCCTGGTCGCAGCAATCCAGCTTGCTCACTCTGATCTTCATCCATGGGCACATGCCAATGACTCTGAAAGAGCTCGTATCGAATAGAATTTAGGACACCCAAATTCAAGCCTTTGCTCTTGGATGCTCTTGGCACAAACCGCCAAGACATCCAAAGGCAGAGAATTTGAGCACTTTCCAGGGCTGTGAGTTTGAGGGTGTACATATACAATACCACGCATGTCAAGGTCCTGTGAGGTGTGGATCCTTCGTGCCTCACAAAAGGGTCGGAACATCAAATATCTGACACTTTTTCATCTCCACTGCGTTTGAAGTTTTCAGGAGACATGATGAGACATGCATAGAAGCCGGCAAATGACTCACAGTGATAGAAGCTGGCAAATGCCACTTCACCTTTGATTCACCTGGCTGCCCGCTGGGAAGATGTCCAACCGATGAGTTTTGAGTCCCTTTGACTGGTGCATTCGAGTTCGAACCGAAGATCACTGAAGATCCGCAAGCCAATGAGCTTGGTCGTCCGGGGTCGAGTCTCGGAGCCTTCGAGTGAACATCGGCAGACGGTAGACCAACAAAGACCCACGAACGACGCTACAAAGCCGTCGTCGGTTTCGACGGAACGACGGGGAGTCTCCGTCCCAACCTTCAGTGGTCGCGGCTTCCCAGAAGACCCACGAGCACTTCACGGCCATTACCGTCGAGGGCCCGCAGGATGTGCCAGGCGCAGGATGTGGCCGGTGGTGCTGAGAAGAAGACGGAGGTCACCGTTGGAACTCCGGTACACCAGAGGTGTCAGAGGCTTTCAGGTGTCACAGGTGGCACGGAGGTGGGGTCCATATCTTGCAGTATATTTTCGACATAAAAGCTGTTATATACACGCATACTGTATATATATATATATAACATACTGTGTAAGTACATACATATATATATATATATAAACACAGAAATACCATATTTCTTGACAACCTGTGGTGACTCAACTACTGCAGTAGGCTGCACTGATTGTAAAGGGAGGGCACAGCTGGTTTTTGCTGCACATACACATTGTCACCCGTTGACGACGTGAGGTGATCAGTTCCATGAGCTAGTTGGGGAGCGTGGTGATAGGGGGTTGACCTGTGCCAGGTCAGGTCATGTACTATTCTCCGATCCTGGGGTTTCAGCAATGGTTGCCCCCTCCAATAAACACCGGACATGATCCGAAATGGAACACCCTCATGTTTGACAGTCGGAGTTCAAAGTCTTGCAACCAGCAAGGCCACCAAACCATGATTGAGTAATTGCATGCAAAATTGCAGGTTCGCTCGAAACAGCCTAGCAATGCTTCAAGGAGACTCCGTTTTAGCCCACCTAGGATCACCCAAATTTCTAAGCATCCCATCTTGCCCTGCTTCAGATCTCTTTTAACATGACGATGTTGCGCTTCCTCCCAAGTCTGCGCTTCCGCCCGAAGAACCGTCGTCCCCTCTTCTCCATCTCCCCAGGCATCGTGGCATCGGTGACGAATGCGCTGGCCTCCGCCGGGGTGATGATCCGGCCGCTCGGCCCGAGAACAACACGGCGCTTCCTTCGCGGCGTGGCGGTGCTGTGTGTCTCGTGGTGGTTTGCTGGGCTGGGGTGGATAGGACTGGGCGTCGATGTTGTCCGAAGGCAGAGAGGGTCAGTGAGTCAGTGTGGCAAAAATGGAAGAAATCGGTGATCGATACTGGATTTTGGCATGCGTCCCGTTTTCCAGCCACTCCTATGCGTTTCGTGGGACTGCTGGGGCTTGGAGGACCTTGTGATGGCCGCTGATGGCCGTTGCGGGCTGGCCGCAACGGCGGGTTGGCCTGCTCCTGCCCCTGAATGGATGATGATGGATGAACTTGGGAGGCCTCTGCGTAGCATGCTTATCCTGAGAGTAAGACTAAATCAAGACAGTGTACCATATAAACATATTTGTTACTGGCCCAGGCTGTAAGGTTGCCACAAAGCAAGAGTTACGGTGTACCACGTCCACGATTTCACGCGGAGGAGCACACCACGCACCAATTCCCACTGTCGATTCGTCCATGTTCCCGAAAACCGAAGAAAGGATCAGAAAGGCCTGCATGATAGCTCACCTCCATCACAAACTAGAAGACCTGCCTCCGCGTCCACCCGATGTCCTCGACGTCGACCGAACCCGCTGGTGCGTCCTCTCTCCGCTGCGAGGGATATGACGGGGCACAGGGACGAGGAGTCGACAGGCGACCGGTGACTGAGGTGGTGGGGCTGGGTTGACAAGTCTTTGGGCCAGGGAGGCCGACGAAAAGTCCGAGTTCCGGAAGGGGCTGGCGGCCAGCCCCTCCTGGAGTTCATGTCCCGTAGCCTTTTTCAGGGGTTTTCCCCAGTGCGGTGCGAAGGGCCAACTCGTTCCTTTATGACTGAATCTCGCTGAGCTGAGCTGAGTGAACTGTCGTAGGTCCAACATCTGAAAACAGAGACCTCCAAGAGGGACTCGTGCTCTACGGACCTATGGAGAAATGGCAGCAAATCTTTCGAATGAATGCACTGCAGATGGTCTATGACTGTTTTATGCAGATCTCAGTTGGTCGTTGAAAGGGTGTTGTGACTTGTGAATGCCATGGAACGTTTTATATACTGTTGGCATTCTTGAGGACCTCGGTGGTTTGAGGCTGAATGGCAGCCACAAAGGGGGTGCTTCACCTGCTTCACCCAGATCCCACAACGGTCGCGCTCCTTCCTGATCGGTCAACGCGTGAGCCCTGTTGGACTGCGCAGTGCTCGTGAACCGCTCGTTGGGTCAGGCGCCTTGCACCTCACCTTCTATGTGACCAAAGACGGCGAGCAGGCGCATGGCGACAGCTCTTTTTCCTGGGGTGCAGGGGGTTCTCGAGCAGTGGCAGTGGTTGGTAACAGTGACTGTGACTGTGTGATAGGGAGCGGCCAAGGGGCACCCCCTTGGTCAGACGCTGAGTAGCAAGATCGAAGCAACATGAGTCCATGAAAGCCTATGTTTCAAATCAAGGGATCAAGACATGAACGCAGAAGCTGAAAGATCGTATGCAGAAGCATCATTGCTTCAGACCCGGGGGGGGCCCGCTTAGCTGTGTGTGTTGGGGCGATCCGCAGGGCCTATTTGGGCTCAATTCGGCCGATATTCCGGCATCATGATGTGGCCGTCCACGGCCGTGGGGCAAGGGCTGGAAAACGTCGGCGCCCTTCAACCCCACGTGCAGCTCCACGTGGAGGAGGAACCTCTGTTTACGGATGTCCCAACTTGCTGGATTCTCCGTGAGGACCGCTGGGCGGGGATCGGCTTTAAACAAGACATGGTGCGTTTGAACACGCACATATTTTGTATCATGCTACATTTCGTCAAGCTGGGTGTCTTTCTGAACAACAGCCCTATAGGAGCTTGATGATGACCCCATCCCAACGCGAGGGGCATCGAAGAGACTCGAACGGAAGCTCGCAGAGCAAGTGGAATTGCAGAGATTCCTCTCCGATCACAGAGCCCTGGGTTCAATTCAGACATGATCTGGTCCTGGCGAGTTCTTGGTCCAACCAAATCCAATCCCCCCCTCCCCAAAAAACAACACCTTTCGGCAGGCTCCATCCAATCCGCTGTGCACGTGAA